AAGGTCGCATAGTTCTGATCAGCTTAACAGAACTATTTTGTGAATACCTAGAATTCTTGATACATAAAAAACATTTTTGAAATATAATAAAGTTTAAAAAAAATAGTGGAAATCTTTGAAAATTTTTTTTGAGAGTACCGAGTAGTTCTGGGTAGCGTTTCTTATAGTACTCGACGAGTTCTATCGAAAACTGTAAGGTGAAAAAGCGATTGGACCAACGGTTTGCAAGATACAGCGACATTTGTCGGAAGATCAACAATTTTTAGAGTATATCTCGGAAACCATTGGTTCAATCGCTTTGAGCCCTGATACTTTTCGACAGAACTCGCCGAGAACTGTCCAGAATTCCCAACAGAACTACTCGGTACTCCCAAAAAATTTTCCGACGTCGGACTTGGAAAAAATTTGAAGTCAAAGTTTTTTGGGAGTACCGAGTAGTTCTGATCAGTTCTCGGCGAGTTCTGTCGAAAAGTATCAGGGCTCAAAGCGAATGGACCAACGGTTTCCGAGATATACTCACTCTAAAAATTGTTGATCTTCCGACAAATGTCGCTGTATCTTGCAAACCGTTGGTCCAATCGCTTTTTCACCTTACAGTTTTCGATAGAACTCGTCGAGTACTATAAGAAACGCTACTCAGAACTACTCGGTACTCTCAAAAAAATTTTCAAAGATTTCTACTATTTTTTTTAAACTTTATTATTCTTCAAAAATGTTTTTTATGTATCAAGAACTCTAGGTATTCACAAAATACTTCTGTTAAGCTGATCAGAACTATGCGACCTTGAATTTCGTTAAAAAGTTAGCACCCCATTTTTAAAGTTATTAAAAAATGATTATTAAGCGCATGTCATTAAAAATCATAGAGAACTCTTCGTATCATCAAAAAGAAGGAATTATCATCAGAACTATTGTATCTAAAAATTAATTTTTCAAAAATTTTTAATTTTTTCTTATTATTCGAAAATTTTTTTTACATATCAGGAACTCTAGGCAATCGCAAATTGAAGCTATTAAGCCGCTCAGAACTATTCCACCTCGAAATTCGATAAAAAGTTAGCACCCCATTTTTAAAAAATGTAAAAGAATGTTTATTGAGCGGAACTCCTTGTTATTAACTATAGGGAACTCTTCGTCTCGTCAAAAGGAAGCGGGAACTCTAATCAGAACTCCTGAGTACTATAGTTGGGGTTCTAACTTAACATATCCTAATTTTTGTTTGTTTGGTCTCATTCTTTTAATCATACGAACAACTAAACTCTCTCTTATGGACATAATATAATAATATGACTTATACAAAGAAATTTATCATCTTGACTTTACTTTTTCCTCGCTTCCGAAGAAATAGTATTTACTTATTATAATTCTTTTGGATACTTGAAGAATTTAAATGTAATTCTGTTGAGCTTATGTTATGTCTCATTTCGAATAATTTATGAATGTCTTATTTTATTTATTTATTTTAGCTGATGAAGACTAACAAAAGTTAAGTCGAAACGTTCTATTTATATACATATAGTAATTAATAAATTATTTTGAAATCTGAAATTACATGCTCATTATTGACCTATCTTTCTTTTATTGTTATTTATACTTATTTACTTATTTCTCAGTTTTTGCCTTTTCACACATTTACTACTACAAACTTGATAAGTAAACAAAAAAAACTTCATAATTTTTCATGCTTGAACACGTAGCGATCCTATTATGTTATGCAATGAAACGAATAAAATCCCATGCATCTTAATGGTCCGTGCTTATTCATTTATTAAGTTCGTTACTTAATTATATTCGAGGATGCACGTGGTGTGTCGGAGTATGCCAAGTTACTTTGTTTCATATCATTGGCTCGCTGTTTAAAGAAGCATCGTTTGCGCGTCAGTGTGTGCTTTAAAAAACGAGGTCGTCGGTGCAGAACGTCGAGGAGAGACTATACGCGTCCAGACGGCGACGTCGTCGACGGCGCCAAGCGCCGTGCTAACTAGCACCCCTAGCACATATACGTACACATGCCCACGCCCTTTATTAAACGTCGCCATCCCCGTCGGCACCCCCACGCGTCCTTCTTCATAAAATTGAACACGACGTGACACCTATACGCACCAACGACGACATACACACATATAGAGAAAGAAAACGGACGGGCTCGGCAAAAATCAGAGCGAGAAGATGAAGAGACTTGCGCGACGGTCATTAAGCCCGAAGGTTTTTATTCTGATAGAACGACCTGTCGATTTGCGCGAATTTAAGTGCACTATTCAGATGAGTCACTTTTTATTGAAATAATTCAGTTTTTTGACGGAAACAATTTTTTTTAATACGCCGATACGTTTCGTTAATTACGTTTCTGCAATATATTAAAATATTTCATATAAAAGTTAACTAACATACGATAGATTTAATTTTAAGATATTAAAATATTATTCTATATCAAATTTTTCTTTATTTATTGTAGAAAATATATATTAAAAAATCTATATTAAATATCCTCCTTTTTAATACCTTTTTATAAAAAAATATATATCTTTGTACATTTTAAATTAAATTCTGTTTACGTTTTTTTACAAAAAAAAGTTTATACCTATTTGAGAAAAAGAAATATTTACTAGCAATTTTTTCAACAACATTTTCTTAATTTTACATTTATTTCTCATCCAAAATAATTTTATAGTGTTTTTATGTACGTTTCATATTAACCTCAATGACAAATATTCTTGTATGTTGCATGTTAATTAAATTTAGAAGCCAAAGAATTATTGTTAATATATTAGAATATCTTCTTTATTTTAAATAAGAATTGTGACCGTCCATAAAAACAATCAACGAGATACATTTGGTGCTATTATTCCATTACTTGTAATCAGAGTCGAACACTTGTGACCCATCTCGAATGACTAACGATCTGATGAGATGAAGAATGATTGATCAGATACACATACATATATATATAAATATATATACATATATATACATATATATGTATATATTATACATACACACTCTTGACTATTAATTAACTTTACTAATAGGATAAGGGAGCAGTACACAAGTTTATGTCGTGTAATTTACTAATAAAATAGTACGCGATAAAACTGTAATTTAAGTATACTATATAATATGATAATAGTATATTAATACTATATAATATAATAGTATATTAAATACAATTACAATACACGTATAAAATATATAGCAATAAAAGAATGTACACGGAAATATAATACATACAAAAACAATAAAGGATAATATTGACCCTGAAAAGATGGACCAATGTCTAATTGCAGAGCTACGCATTCAAAATCAAGCAATTCTGGTAAATTAAAGATCGGAGTAAAATAAATATTAGAGATAAACTTGTAATAAATTAAAGCTTTATCTATCTATTAAGTTACAGGTAAAGTTAACCGACAAGCGCAATAGCTCGTTCTTAAATAGATTGCATATTAAATTATTTATGAGTATTAATAATATGCACCAAAGGAACTTATGTAAATAACAACGTAAAATATATACGTTTAAAAAAAGTGCATATGCGCTTCCACACTGTAATGCATATTCATTAAATAAATATATTGCAAAGGACTATTACAATTAATGGATAACTGATTACAAATTTCGATAATTTACGGATGAATATCAAAAAGAGACATAAAAATAAGAGATGTCTTACACAGACTGTTACATCTTTAATAACTTTGATATCTCAGATAGCATAGAAAGTTGAAAAAGAATTCAGTCATATGTCATCAATTCTGAGTCCATATTCAGATGCAGAAAGAATTCTTTTCAAAACTTTTTAGAAAAAAATTCTTTTTGCACCTAAAATAAATTTAGAATTGACACACATGACTGAATTCTTTTAAAATTCTTTTCAAACTGTCTGCAGTGCTATTTGAGAGATCGCAGTATGCTTATATAACCGACAATTTTTTAAGGCCCATTAAGACGAAGATTGCGCGGACTAAATATCGATTCTCTATATCGGTTTGTTAAGCGCCTTCATCCTCGACTTTCTAAATTTAGTCGACTCGTTCGATGCTATTCTTTTTACTTACCCCCGAGCGAATCCACCGTCAGCCTAATCGTGTTAATTTTGTAGCCGCTGGTTCCTTTGAAACCGTGTGGATGGGGTTCGCCGCACTGTTCCCTTTGATTCCCGTGCCACACCGTCAGTGATTAACCTGAAAAAAGGAAAAGTGTGTAAATAAACTTTCGTTCCATGCAGTCTTATTTCTGTTAGTCGCGGCTGTATCAAATAGCAAATTCACAAGGTGAATTCTTTGATGCGAGGACAAAATTGTGTTCTCTTTCTTTTTTTGAAAGTCTAAAAAAGGAACGCTGCAGTTAATTACGTTCAGTAATTATTTTAAAGTGAAGCTTCTATAATAATAAATTTTTATAAACGGTCTCTTATATCATCTTATATCTATATACTTATCATATAACGGACCATAAATTTTCAATGTTATTTTCGGCGAAATATATGTATTGAAAAAGTATATATAGAATAAAATCTTTATTCTTAGTTAATTTGACATAAAATATGTTTAAGACAACTCACTTCCAACATCTGCTACACGTAAACTTAAGCGTTACTTTTGGCTGAAACTTGTATGAAGCAGTTTGAATACTTTGGGTTTGCTTTTTATTCCTGCACTGTCTGAAATGTGCACACGGTACAATAAGTTAAAATGAAACAAACGTATATTTGTTTCACTTCAACTTATTGCACCATTAGTACTAGTTCAGATAGTGCAGGAACAAAAAACAGATCCTTTGAATAGTGCAGAGATTTCTATATAATACCTAAAATCGCTATCTCCATAAAATCTGACCAATCAAAAGAAAGAGTTATACAAACTAACCAATCAAGAAACGCTTCAAAGCATTCGTAGTGGCAACTCGACCGCAGCCATATCAAAGAATAGGGAGAAGAAGATGGAAGGTTTGCGACCATCGAAATTGCGCGCCATCTAACACTTGAAGAATTAACTGTTTGGTCGGCCATGTTAGGTCCAGATTCTTCTTTTATGCAAAAACGCATCAATTGAGTTTGAGTATATCTTTATCAAAATTGGAGAGGAGCGGGGTATTCTATACCTTTACCATGACCGACAATAAAAACGACAAGGCGAAAGTCGATTTAGGATTGCTCGAAGAAGACGATGAGTTTGAAGAATTTCCCGCGGAAGGTACAGTTTTCTTAATTGACATTTATTCAACATAACCTCAAAATCGCTTATTCATCAGTATTAAACGCATAAAAATATCAGATTTTATTTTATTTTTTAAAATAAATTTATTAACTAGATTGGACCGCAAAAGATGAAGACAGCGATGATATCAGCGTCTGGGAGGATAATTGGGACGATGATGACGTTGAAGATGACTTTAATCAACAACTAAGGTATTGTTTTGCCATAAATTCATTTATAGAATAAATTCCATATATGTACAGGAGAAGAGAGGGCAACGTAATGCTCGATTTAATAAAAATATCGTTGAATGTAATATATTAAACAAAAGTTATGCTCTTTTGATCTTTAAATGGATAATTAAAATAGCCTAGGTACAGTTTCCTTAAAACTGTTCTGAAGAGGAAAATATGAAATATTGCCTAGACGCATTAAAGTTCATTATTTTTAAATTCTGTCTCATATAATTAATGTAAAATTGTATGGCCAATACTTACAGTATCTAGTTTTTATATTTAAAATTGTTTTTTTTTTCAAGTCTAAACGTTATAGACTAATTATAAAGCCAGCCTTGAAACAAGAACAACATATAAATACCAACATATAACATATACTACACTATCCTGATAAAAAATATAACTATAAAAATGAACCAAATGAGCAATGCCACAACGGTCTAAAAGCTGGATCATGGGTGCTTCTAAATAATTGTATGTGAATTTATATTCTACGAATGTAATTCTTTGATTGCGTTCCGAAATTTTTCAGACTTGGAACGCAACACTAATAAACGACCGCAATAATATCACGAGTTAAATTGACTAACAATTTAACAATTATTGATGCTGTTTATGTATTTTATATTGATCTTACTAATGTTAAATAACTTACTGAAAACTGTAAATAATTTATTTTTCACTGTGAAATATATTACCTCGGAAGTTGAACCTGGATCTCTGGCATCCCATTGTGGCATTGTCTTATTCGGTTTGAAATTTAGTAGTCTAATAAGAATTGATATTATAAAAAAAATTATTTAGGGTGTTTTAAGCACTTCTATTACCAACTTAAGTATATTTAAATTATCTACTTAAAATTTGCATAAAACTACAAAGTGTACACAAAATTTATAGTGTTTTAATTAAATTTTAGGGCACAACTGGAGAAGCAGAAGGCTACGAATGAAGTTACCAAGAAAACTTAATTAGTTTGCACAATATGTGATTAATCTTATTTTATGAAATAAATATATTAAATATATTAAGTTAGTGTGTATTATTTATATCTTGTATGTGTACACATAAAACTCTTTATAATATTTAGGATGTAATAATAGGGCTGTAATTGGTAGGTATATATTGTATAACACGCACCATATGTTTTATGAGAGCACACAATTCCTTTGTATAAAACTTAGTTATTAAATATAAATGCTATATACTTGAACTCCTGTTCTGTAACTCTTAATGACAGTAACAATATCGTTACATTGTTGCATAATACATATTTTTAAAAAATAGGCAACGATAATACAACGATATCATTATTGTTAAAATTTACAGAATAGGGACCTTAGTCCAGAAATGCATATAGTGCCTTCCCAAAAATGACTCGTTTCACCGCTGGTCAATTGAAAGAAGTCATTATTCTCTAATGGAAAAAATACTTGGCATATCTTATTGTAAATATATAATGATACAGTCTTTGTTTTTGAAAAATCCGTCAGATTTTTCACAAAACGTAAACGGTCAACATATCGCTCTTACTTTAAAGTTACATAATTAAAAAAAAAATAAGAAAAAAGGAAAAAAACTATCTTTTAACTTGATAGAAAATTATTGAATCAAATAATATCAGCAGTAAGAATATTTTTAACATGATGAAATGTCATTTTCATTTCATATTCTTTAAAAGACCATCTTTTATAATAATTTTGACGATCTTTTTATTAAATTAAATCAGTTAAATATTAAAATGTCACATTATAGACTGCGATGAGAACATACAACAATTACTTAGTTTACTTTTGTTGATTGTGGTAGGATAATATTTATTTAATTCATTTATCTATATTAGTAACAATTCCAAAATCATCTATTAAGTTTTGTTCTCTTTTGAAGCATAGGAGCGATATGTTTTACATATGGCACATATCGATTTTTCTTTATGTAAGTATTTTGATATAAGTATCTTAATGACTCTTCCACAGAAGCATTATTGAGAGAATAAAAGTGTGCGAATCTCACTAATCGTCAAACAATCTTCTATCTAATGGACTTAATGAACATCGAAATTAATTCGTTGTGACGTCGTGATTTGTTTTACAGGAAATCAATAGTTCTGATACTAATGCATCTAATATTTGCATATTTAAATCTATATTGATCTTTTTGATTTTATATGAACTTAACAAATACTTCAGAGCCTTGTGTATATCATCCTCTTTGAATATCAATTTTACAGCATACGATATCTTTTCTTCTAATATATTTAACAACTTGTCTTCCAATTGGGTATCGTTCTGACTTGTGCTATTATGTGGCGCATCCCAAATTAACGAAGAGTCGCTCAGAGAATCAAATAACCAAAGAATTATTTTCTGTTAAAAAAAAAACCATAAAATTAACAGATATAATGATTTATGAAAAAAATCTAATATTCTTTTGTATATAAATCTCACCTGTAGGAGTGGCTCTGAAATGTTCCCAAATAGCAACTTAGTCCATCTAACGACTACTTCTTGCTGTAGAGTGTTGTTACTAGCAATACCTGCTAGAAGCTCACAAATCAAATCTATCATCGTACATGTCAGTGTTAAATTCGAATCTAACTCATCTACTTCATCTAAAAAAAATATAATATTTATTTTTTATTATAATTATAAAATACAATTTTTGTATTATTTTATGATATTTCATATAAAAAAAAGCAATATTATTGTAGCTACCATCATATGAAGTATTAATTGTCTCCCACCAGCAATCCAGTAATTCTGAATCTCCACTAGCTTCCATTGAGTCAACTGCTTCGTAAGCTGTGTCTACTGTACAATACTCTGTCCTTTCTGCTATCAGTTGCTGAAGTTTACAAGCTAAACTTTTCTATGAAAAATAGATATTTTAAAACATTATTATTATTATATATTATGCAAGAGATTATATTTTGAAAGATATAAATGTCAAACTAAAATAAGTTACAAATTCAATTTTCAAGGATGAAATTAGATAGTTTCAGACGACATGGGCAATATATGCCAACTTTATACATATTCATGTTGGCTTACATTCGTAATTACGAATATTGTGTGTATGCGTCTAGGTGCGTGCGTGTGTACGTGCATGCGTATGTGTGTATAATATTTGCTAACGTAGCATATGCATATGCACATATACATTAGCCATCTAGAACCATCTTTTAAGGGAACATATGTAATTTATAATAATAAAAAATAAATAAAATATATAAGATAATAAAAGTAAAAATTTGAATTAGATTTAATTCATGTGTTACTTCTTATTAAAACATTGTATTTTCTAATAATTTTATTGATTTTTGAAGAAAGAGATATTGAAAAACAAATAAATTCCTAACATTATACTTATAACAATTCCAATTATATTTTTTTTTTTCTAAAAACAAATATACATATTATAATTTACAAATATATACAAGTTCTACATTACCGATTTTATATCCTCGACAAATCTCCAGGGTATGTCAGACAAGGGCATCAATGTAGGCAGAGGAGAAGCCTCTTCTTCTTGATCCAGTTCGAATCCTGGCACAACAGTTTTCAACGTATTGAAGACACCAGTCACAGTCTTTGCTAGAAATCGATCCAATCGAGGCGCTACCGCATCGGCTTTCTTGCCCGCGCTACTACTAGGTCGAAGAAAGTGACGCAATTGTGGCGGACATTCGTTTGCCAATCGCGTACATAACGTTTTCAAATATATCTCCAGTTCGATTCGACCACCCTCAGGCAATACCAATTCCGATATAATACTCGATAATGATGGAATCTGCAATTTTGCAAGCATAATATAATTATTAAATTAAAATTGCAGCTCTGAATTAATTCGTAAGCATTAATTAATTTTCACACGACTTTTAAAAATGTTTTTCAGTTGCAGAAACCTTACTTCTTCCAAACTGAGATGCAATTGAACGAAATCGGCGTATTGCCTTTTGACTGTAGCAGTGGTTGTTTCGAATAAATCTACCCCACGTTGTTCGACATCGTCAAATTGTATACAATAGTACAATTGTTGCGAGCCATCCGTCGCAGTATGGAACTCGGTCCAAGGAATTGATAAATTCATAAATTGGCTTCCTACGTATATCACGTAGGATTTTTCTTCAACATGTCTGAAATTTACAGGTCTATGTAGCAATGTACTTGAGATTGAATGTTATACACAATTGTGTATATCATTACTAACAATGGTGTGGTTGCTGTAGATTTCTGTTGCAACAAATTTCTAAGTCTGGCGATAGTCGTAGCGAAATCCGTCGGTTCTTCGTACACCGGTGATATTTTATCTTCATCTAATTCCAGATCTGTGTCTGTTATGCTTTCTCCCCACAGACCTCTGTGCTCTGTAGAGAGACCTTCCAAACATAGAGTTGGTCTTTCTGGAGTTACCGTTAAAATTGCATTCTTGTCTTCACTTGTGATAGTTGTAATTGGACTAGATTTAGATACAGATTTTGGCAATTGTTGTGGAATCACAGCCGCTGTCACGGATGTAATACCATCACTCAAAGCAACGCTTATAGTACCCTAAAAGATTAAATTATTTATATGTATGTATATATGATATATTATCATAAGATATTGTTACTATTAAAATTTACATTAATATCTTGTTTAACTGGAGCAATGACACTATCAACTTCGTTTGATGGAGCTTCCAATAGTACTAACAAATTCTGGAACAACCAATCTGGGCAGCTTATTGTGTCTATTGTTATTAAAAGTCTTTTTGCTAAAATAGATAACAAAAGTTTGCATGGTAATGAACTAGTTGATTCCCATTGTAAAAACTCTTGTGCCAGAACAGTAATTAAACGGTATAACATATGCTGCAACGTCGATGCACTGCGAGACCCAGGGTGTAAATATTTATATGCTTCCTCCACACTAGTTGCAGCACCCTTCTCTACTCTGCGTAATGCTCTATGAAACAGATATGGATAGGTATAGTGCACTAATACGAATATAAGTAATAAACTTTGCTAGATTTGTAAAGATAATTCTTGAGAGGACTATATTCATACCTACGATATTCCTTCAAGTGTAACAATAACACATTTGCTAACTTATTAATAACCTTTATCTTATCTACCAGACTGGCTTTCCAAACAAGCCTAGTCAAGAATTTGTTCAATAAGTCCTGTGTCTCATTAGAGAATGACCTGTCATTACTTATGTCTCTATACCAAATTTCTATATACTTTGCATTAATCTCTCGTGTCATTTCTGTTACGTTTAATTTTTTTTTTCTCGTCAAAAGACTCTCCTTACAGGTGCAATCAAACATTGCATCATTATTGCACATAACATTATCTTTTTGTACAGAATTCAAATTGTTTTGGTTCTCACTATGACTCTTGTAAACAACCTCTATATTATCAACCTCGTTCACAGAAGATTCTAAATTTAACTGACTCACTAGTATTTTGTATATCCATTTGTTTATAAATGTTAAAGAAATCGGATTGTTGGCTTTTAGTATGAGACGTAGTACGCAACAACTCAGCCATATGGATATAATTGTGATCAATACTGCCCAAGAGACAGAAATATATATTGGTAGAGGTGTGAGACCTGTCCACCCTTGTATAATCAAGGATAATATTGCAACTGCTATACTAAAAACTAGTAGAATTTGGTTGGACCAACTCATTGGTATAACTTTCTCCATTTTGTGTACTCTCTAATACTTTTCATTAATAATAACTTAAGTGTCACATTTTGTGCTGCAGTAATCAAAACCTGTAAAGGGAAGTAGATACATTTAATTTATTTTCAGCTCATCGTGTGTACCATATAAAATCAGGTTACATAATTAAAAGATACATGCTTTGTTTTTTCGAAGATCCGATAGAATTATAAAAAATTCTAAAGTTTATGGAGAAAATCTAAAGCATTACATAAAAAATTGTAAAAAAAATTCACCAAAGTTAAGACTCTCAAATATTGTTCAAATGTTACTTATCAATTTAATTATGTTGATATCAACGCTTGTGGAAAACAGTTTAATAAAATACAGTTTGTTAAATGTAAACAGATTAAATGAATTTGAATAGTAGCATTAAATTCGTACTATTTAAATTTATTGATCATTTTTAAAAACGTACCACGTATATGCGTTCTACTTCACATCACTTCACATATAACTGTTTACTTTATTGTCATTTGAAGTTTTCTTGTAGAGAATTAACCTCGCCATCAACTCAATTCGGGTTACGTCACAAAAAGACTAGTGCCTGCACCTTGTCATTTGTTATGATAAATTCGTATCAATCCATATCACTTGGCGACTTTATTTACGATGATTTGTTCGTACAGCTGATCTCCGCGTCTCCGCTGTCTGCAACATATTTGTTTTCTAATCTTGTCTTGCACTGGTTGCACTAGTTCAAAAAATGTACACTAGGGAACACTGAATGATGTATATATGACGTTGTACTTTTAGTAACTTTTAATTCACCGTGTCATCTGTTTTTTGTGGCTGAACCTGAACTAGTATACACTTCAGTACACTTTTAGAACTTAAAGTGAGATAGGTATATATGTTTGATATCTGTCGAAAGCGAGAAAGAGAGTTCTAGTTAGTTCTAGTTTAATCTAGTGCAAGAACAGACCAGTTGCTTTCCAATTACACACAACTCACACAAGTGAAACTGAAATCTGAAGTGAGCTGAATATGAAATACTCAGATTTAATGACGTCACTGCTTGCTTACTTTGATAAAATTAACAAATAACAACACAGGCTTATAACCTCACTTTTAAAGTGAGTCTACGAGACTCAATAAAGCACACGGTCTCGATCTTGTGCAGTTTGTAGGTAAAAACTCAGTTGAATCTCACTTCTCAGAATGCAAAAGGAACGCATTCAACTGAGTTATGACGTCACAAGTGAGAATTATCCGAGAATCGAAGTAAATGGAAAGCAACTGCCACGTGTCTCTTGTTGGAAAGCTCCCCCAGTCTTATTTCACCAAGATGAATGGTGATTAAATCCATTTTCTGACCTTGTAACAAAATTATAGTACAGAGAACATGTGGTGATACATGTACATACAAATTATGAATGCAATCAAGAAGAGGCTACTTTTCGATGTTTTTGGTAAATAACGCCGAAAAGTAGCGTGTTCTTTAAATCACATCCATTTTGACGTGTTACGTCAAAATAGATTTTTATCGACAAGATCAAAAAATGGATGTACTGCAATAGAATAACTTTCTTTTTCTTATTTTTGCCAAATACAAACTCATTCCATTTCGCTTTAAATGTATACTGGTTCAACTACAGAAAACAGCTGATTATTAAGATGGAGTCGAGCGAAGTCCCGTATATTTGTGCAAGAAATGAAGGTTCCTTAAAATTTCGTATTTTGTCCTATAATTTTGGAAATATAAATATACTACCAATGATTAAAGTAAAAATATTTTTCGATTTTTTTAACCACAATAAATTTTTACACAATAAATTTTGCAAATAGATAAACTCGCTATATCGTTACCGTTTTGTTGAAATGTTTTATTTCGAAGTTAATTGCACGCAATCGTAATATTTTATAAAAAGTCAATATTTTTGTATCATAAATATATATATAATTACAAATCATCAATTTTATTCAAAATGTAATAATTTCTTATATGTTTTTTTCTCGGTCGCGGTGTTTATTATTAGGGAGATATTTTTGCAATATCGTTTATCCTAGATACGGTGAACGCTAAAGTTATGTTATCCTTTCCTTAATTAGGTGTGAATAAAAAGATAACGTGTGACTTTAGCGTTCACTGTGGCCGATAAACGGTATTGCAAAAACTCCCTATTATAAATAACTATAGCTAATCAAATCAGACTTTTGGCAGATGCCTTAAGTATTTTTTTTATTAATAAATCCACTAAAAGGAAAGCATTAATTAATTAAATTATGTAAAATATAATAGAATAATTTTATTAAATTACAACATAAAAGAAAGATGGGCCACTTTATTCACGATGGCATAATAAACTTTGTAGAATATTTCTTTATCATCATTACAGCGCTTGATGAGCTATAATTCGAATTAAAATTTTGTCAAGGCGAATATTAGATAGTTCAGTGTAAAAAATATAATCCTTCAGTCTACATATTATGTTATCGAATTTTTATAGTCATTGGATCATTATTAGCTTTGTTAATCGAGATAGAAGATTTGTATGTAATTCTTTTGCATGATTTCGAAAAATATATTCCACATTCGGTAAGTACGTATAAATATATGTAACCATCCAAAGCTATAATGGCGTTGCAATATATTAATATATCCCAAGATTATTGAATACCTTTCCAATCGCAGGACAATAAAGCTTCCTCGATAGCGAATAGTTTATTTTTCTCAAGAAAAAGATACGTAGAAAAATGAATATATGATATATTTTATGTTCTGTATCTGAACTTGAAACTAAAATTTTCTGTCAGGACAAGAATGCCTAAGTAAAATAAAATGACATGAAAATGACGTCGAAATAGATGATTATATCTATTATATTAAACCTACGTTCCAAAACATTCTTTTCGAGCAAAATTTTTCTCGGAGCGAATATAAGTCACCTTTTTCGATTAATTACGATTTATTTTAATATCATTTTGATCGCGTTACCATAATCAGTTGTTTCGCTTCAATCGTTTTCTGGAAAATATACAGTCCTCCCACCTTCCCGCAATAAACATCAACTACACAGTAATTAACATAATATCAATGTCATAATTTCACACTTTAACTGCAATACAACGTACAATTTAACATTGCTACGTGTTATATTTATATTATTAAATATAAATTAATATAATATATATATATATAGATGATATATATATATAGATGATATATATGTTATGTTTTAATGTTTACTCATGGGTATCCATTACGCAAGCTCTCAGTAGTTTATTCGAATCTCTTAATCATTGAAAGTGAATTGTAGGAAGAAAAGCGATAATATATCGGAGAAAGAATTAAGGAATCGAATCGACTGCAGTCCGAAGTCGATTGAGGAGTTGCGAGCAATGCGAGGAGGAGGCCTATACCGCGCCGCGCTGGGAGAAAGGACTCACCTGTTTCACAACCTGCGTGACGTACACGCGTCGGATGCGTCACGTGACCTGCTCTACGTCTCGGCTGGCTGTAGTAGGTGTAGCGTAGCGTCAGCGCGCTACCAGTGAGTGCACCATGGCGACCACGGTAGTAGCCGTAGTGCCTCTGTGAGGGGACATAGTGCGATAGACGGGAGTTGCGCAAGGGAGTGACCGCGACGAAAAGTGCGCAAGCAGAAAACACAGTGTGTGCGATCAAAACCGCGCCCACCATTCAAGGAGTTCCAGATGGAAGCGCGGAGATCTGGAGTATCTTGGAGTATCGACGATCGACCAAGGATCGCGTCAGTTCGAGACACGATCGAGAGGCTTTGACGATCCTAGGCGCGACTATAAACGCGAATAGTTGATCGATCAGCATCATCGAGGAGATCAACGCGGATCCACATCGATTTCATAAACTTGACGAAATTGAAAAGAAAAAAGGAAAGAATTGAAAAAGAGAGAAGGTCCGTGCGCTCGCACGATTAACGTAAAAACGTAAGAGGAATCGCCAAGTCTGGAGCAACGTACGGAGTAACGGTCGCGTTACGCGCACGGTTCGTTGCCGTCGCCGTCGTTGTCGCGCGCGAGGGTTAACGCTCGAATTCGAACGTCTCGCGTACCCACCACCGTGACGCACCAATCCGCGGTGTCTTGGATTGCGTCGTTGAGGGTCGCCGAAGTGGTTTTACGCTTCGATTCACACGCGACATGTTGTAGCACACCGTGTGTAGGGCGAGATGTTGATGAAAGATTGTATGCGATGAGCCACTGGTCAGGCTGCGACAAGAATTTGAACGAGCAGCCAACGTTGCCGGATCGAAGCGATCGGGGAGGTTTGTTACAAAGAATACAAAGAGTTTAATGTCGCGTCTCTTGAGTTGGAAGTGTACGAGGGATTCACTATTGTTATTCAGATTTCCCTTGATGACAAATACGAGTTTCGATCGAAAGAATTTATAATCTTTATGTTACAAGCGATCAAAAAAAAAAGAAAAAAGGTAATCATATAAATGATGAAATCTTATACATATTTGTAGGACGTTTTTACATCTCTTTTTCTTTATCACAATATTACTGAGATCTAGAAGGAATTAAAAGAAAGTTAAATAAATGCAAGAGATAGAGTAGTACAAGCAATAATCTTTCTTCTATACAGTGCAATGTTTATTGTTAGAAGTTTTGAGAAGCAGTTTCGTTAAAGTTCTCCAATTGTTCTCCAGAAACGATCTACCGGATAATCGCAATATGCATCAAGAAGAGCAATAATTAAACGTCTCTCGAAACGGAACGCCCGAAGTTCGTTGAAGGAGTATAAAATGTTGCGCGGCATGAAGAGGAAAAACGTTCTGACTCACATACGTATCCGATCGACGAATGACGCGTCCATGAATCGCTCAGCGATAAGCTAAGGATGATTCTCGCGAAGCCACGGCCTCGTCAACGCGAATGCATCTCGGTTTGTGCGTTTGCGTAATGCTTAACTAATGTAGGTATACGCATGTACTCACCTTGAAAGTCGTAAACTAATGTATCGAGAAATCGCGTGGATACCACTCGTCAAGTTCTTTACGAAAATGTCAACTACACTAATCGTCAACAATTCTTTTTGGACGTTTATCACGTTTCATCTCTCAAGTGTGACGTTTCTGTTTTAGATTTAATAATAAATCGAGAACTATTTTATACACAGTGAATGGATTCTACCTCTTATAGTTCAGTGAGAGAGAAAGAGAAAGAGAAAGAGTGTTCAGTGCCTCATTGAATTCTAGCCGAATGGATTTCCATTAAACTAGGAAACTGTCAAATTCCTTCGACTGCAGTTAGAGAGAAAAAGGAAAAAGGAGAAGGCGATTTTAATTACCTGATATCGAAAGCACCGCAATGTACCGAAGAATGCAACGCTTGTGGATTTCGCTGTCGATTCTGGCCGTTCTGGCTGGAACTCTCCCAGATGACAGATTCGACCAAACATCAATTTATTACACAGTACCGATAAACGGGAGCGAGGCAACCGGCAGCTGGAACAATGGTGGTCTTTTCGAGGAGCACGGTGGTCGCATTATTCGAGATCAGAAAGTATTTGAGAAATCGAAGAGCCCTTACTTGTTACGAGAGGATTTGTTTATCGAAAAGAACGCCAAGCTCATTATAGAACCTGGCGTGGAGATTCGTTTCAGTCCGATGATCGGCATCACTGTCCGCGGTACTATAATCGCCGAGGTAATAATCCATAAAAATTACAATAGAGATTTCTAAAAGGTTGAATGATTCGCTCTCGTGGAGAAAGTCCAGCTTTGTTCTCGAGATGAGAACAAAGACGATCATCCGTTAAGATCCTTAAACCACATTGTTGTCAAATATATTTTTCTTAACGCAAATGTAGTACAATATTTAGAGTTTCGTTGTCTAGTTGAACAGTGTTAAAGATTCCGTCATTAAGATAACACTTCTAGGAATGCCCTAAATTTAAATTTTCGAGATATCTGTAGGTAGAAAGTGTGGAAAAAGATTCCAAGCAGAACCGGTCGCGATAATGTCAAAATGATGAATTGATTGTATTTAATGGAAGAAGCAATTTTGCAATTATGTGTCGTAAGATTTTTAATACGTTTAGACTGTTTTATACATTTTTAGAGTCAGTGAAGAACAAAAGAGCATAAACTAATTGGCCAGGTCTTAAGCTTACGTATTTTTAATTACACCTTACTTAATCAGTATATAGACAGTAATATCAACCGGAGCAATATTGCTTCTTAAGTGCAGGAACTCGTTAGTACCTATTTGGCTTGTAGTTTCACAGATAAAGCTTCATATTTAATGCGAAAAAACTGCATATGTGGTAAGTCGAATCAAATCCGGATCCTCAGATTGCGAGTTGACCACCCAGGGTGAGGTATCGTATGACTCCTCAGTCCTCATTTGGTCCGCGCAGATTCATAATCTGCAGGTCCGGATCTTGATTTCATCGCGCTTCACATACGCGGTTTCTACGCGTTGACTATACTCTATTGTGTTGTACCTATTTAATAAGGGTAATCAGCTTGCTGTTTTCTCCATGCTGTGATAAATCAAAATTATACGAAACACCATCGCGATTATACGAGAAAGGAGCCTATTTGAATATTTATTTGGAATTGATACGATGCTAAAATATAATATAGTTATAAATTTTGAACAACTGAAGCCTTTGCTTTTCGAGGAAATTATCGCTGAATCCTTGATCCTTCTTTGTTGCATCCTTCGTATAGTGGGTCAGAAATTAAAAAGGGAGACCTTAAGAAAGAAGAAAAAGAAGACCATCCATAGGGCATGTAACCACTCATACCACCGTGTGAATAGTCTCGTTTCCTGTGAAGCTCAATATCGTCATAGTCATACGTTGCGGTTCGCGAGCACTAGCTTTTCCAACCGTTACTTTTGTTTGCTAATGGTGCTCCGTTGAGATTGTTTGTTCTCAGAAAGAGTGTACGTTTTCGTACAGTGAATTATTCTCAAACGTACGTCTTGTTCATGCTTCTAAAGAGTTTTATTAAATTACGTCATTCTTTTACGGACCCGATTACAGAAACCAATGTTACTTTGACCTTAAAAACGAGATTAAAAACTCTTTTTTCTCTTTTTCTCTCTCAGCTTTAAAAAGAGAAAGCACGAGTTTCAAGTTTCATTTAAAATCAAAATAACATTGGTGGAATTAGGCCTTAATTGTCTAAACTCTAACCTAACAATAAGTATAACTTTATACATTTGAAGGATAAAGATGAACTCTCTTGTCCTCATCTTCTATACAATACACAGTTAAAAATTTTATATTAAATTTACATAAATTTTCACATATCCTAAATGATCTATCCAAATTTTTGTGTTAAATTGATATAAAATTAATATATTAAAGAGTAACACAATTATTATATATACATATATTATGTATAACAAAATTACCACCATAAGAAATATATAATATTGACACAATTTGGAAAAAAATTGTTCTTTAATAAAACATTTATATGTTAAATTAACAATACATATACAAAAAGACATTATTCGTAATTATATCTTCCGTCGTATCCATTTTCACATAATTAAACATATAATAATTTAGCTGCATTTAACATTTTATTTATATATTCATTTATCTTAGAATTTACGTTTTAAATATATTATTTTTATATTATTTGTTCATTTACGAAATTGTATTATTTGACACTAAAAAAAAATATTGAGTATCAATTTAACATAAAATTTAATTAACAGAATATCAAGAATATCAATTGATCACAATTACATTATGTGAAATAAAAAGTTCCGAAATCTATTGAAAAGAAAGTGTTGCAACCTGTAACTGTAACCTTTCTTTGATCGGCTGTATGTGAACGTTGAATGGACATATGACTCATCGCGGCGTGCAATCGGTACAACTGTATGTACACGTGTTACAACAAACACGCGAGAAAAAAAAGATTGTATTATAGGCAAATTGCGTTCTCAGAAAACTTCGTAGATTGCAATTCTAATAAAATTTCGACATTATGAGTAAGAACTTCAAATTGAAATCTCACGGTGTATTAAGTTATTATTATAATAGTAAAAAAACGTTACCTTTTAGTCTACCAAAGGCTTGATTATATCGTCATTCACGTTAAAAATCAATAGCGCCGTTGATACCGTTAACTGATAATAAAGATTAGAGTCATACCAACTTGGTTATCAGTGAGGTTTCATAATCATTTAAGAGCAAATAGTGTGTGATTAAAAAACGTGATTCTTGATAATTATACGCCTCCCATTATATTACGCACGCACGCGCGCACACATACACACACACACACACACGTCATAATATTTTCACAAAATTAAACACAAAATGTAATATACTTGATTTCTTTAACTTTATTAAGTTTCTTTTATTACGTGCATAAACTATAAGTACATAATTTAATATCTTTTAAAATTATTAATTATTAATTGTTCTTTTTGTTCCGGTCAATGATCCTTTTTATACCACACAGATTAAATTAATTATTTACATTATAAATATTATGTAAATATTATAGGATTAATGAAGTAGGGTATATTAATTAAAAGATTGCAAAAATTATAATCTCGCATGTTCTTTTAAATATCAAGATTTTATCTTTGCAAACCGAATCTCCTCGCATATATTCGCAGTAATTCTACACTCTCGCTCGCTCACCCGGCTTTAATTCATTCTTCCGGTGTGAATTATAATTGTCATAACCGAGATAACTGTCGAATATCTCTACTTTGGTTGGGTGCGCACGCTATCAACTTATACTTGATGATTGTTAATTTATCATAACTATTTAACAGTAAGTCGATCGAGTAGAATTTCCGATAAATAGTTGTCCGCGTAGAATTTTCGGTAAATAGACTTTCACGAGTGACGATTAAAACCAAAATTAAATGTCATTAAAAGACAATATATTATCGAATATGTTATCGAGTAACGCGAAGTTTACTATCGACGTTTAATAATTGACACAATTTGCAAACGAGATTTTCTATTATATATTAAATATTTCACTTTTAATTACTTTAAACCGTCTATTATTTTGAAATCATTATATTTATTTTATAAAATCTGTCTATTCTTCTCTAGTAAGCTAGTGATTGCTCTATTGATCTAGTATGATATTACAGGCTTGACTATATAAAAATATATAAAGCACCTATTTATTTTCTTGGAAAAAAGATTAATAAAGTTTAAAGAAATATTGACAAAATTATTACAAAAGTAAATATTATTTTTCAATAAAGTTATTTTTTATTTATTTTTTGTTAAGTATAGAACGTTTGTGTCAATTTATGATGGGAATATTTTACACTTATGACCCAAGTTGTATAAAAAATGATATTTCTTCTTAGTCTTCAATTAAGTATCTTACCAAGTGAAATAGCGACACAGTAATACTAGTTATTTTGCGATGAAGATCCCCTTTGTTTAATGATAACAAAGCTAAAAATGATTTAATGAAATAGAAGAGCATTGTGCTTTACTCCAGTCCGATAAATATAAACGCAAAAGAATGTAAAGTGACGGATGGAATGCATGACAGGAAAGGGATCCTTTCGCGCGCAGAACGGAGGACGCATCGTTTAACCGGAAACACCACGGACAGTGCGGACACGCAAACGTCATTGCTTTTATTGTTGTGTTATTGGTGTGGACGGTATCGGCAAAATAACACTCATACTTACGCGTTAATACTTATCATAACAAGTGTTATTAGGTGTTATCTAGTTGCTATTTTAATTACGGGTTACGTACACGTAACAATTTTAAAAAATGAACGCGCACTCAATCATTCTACGCAGATACCACTACATGCCGCAATCGTAAACATATTTTAAATCATTAAAAGGCTAAATTTCTAAGATATGAAACACACGAAATTTAGTAAGTAATTGATTAGTAGGTAATGGGGAAAAAATGTTAAAACAGGTGAATCAGAGTTTTCATAATACGAAATGAATAATCTTTTTAATTGGAAAATGGGAACGCTTATCAGATGCCACGTATGTGTTCTCTAGAGATGAAAGAATAGGTTTTTTATTTCAGAATAAAAATCCGAGCAAAAAGCTATTTTAATTTTTATGATAAAAAATTCGTTTTTATCGAAAAGGATATAGAAATTTTTTTATATTCATTATTAAAACACTTAATAATTACGTTATTTTGATATTATATTTAATATCTTTTATCTTTATGTGTATTTCTTTTATATTAAAACTACAACTTAATTCTCGGCCTCTATATTCAATCGACTGATAATACTTATTCACAAATTTGATTTTTTTTTCGCTATAGTTGTTTTGAAGCATCATCCTTAAGCCTAAAAATAAGGTATAATAGGTGTTGGTGCTGCGAATCTAATCTCAAAAAATAATAGTAAAAACTGTCGAAAAGCAACATTTGAAGCACTGTCTCTTCTTTGCGTTCCAGCTGAAAAAAAATATCGCGGAGAAACTCAAAAAATGATTTGCTCGGTTTTAGGTAAAAATTCCATGTCGTACAGTACATGTAAAAAGTGTTTTTGAAGATTTTCGTGATAGTAGTTTTAATTTTTTTCATCATAGAATTCATCGACTCAAAACATCTTTTTATCTTATTATATTATCTTATTATAAATAGAAGAAAAATATCATTCTCAATAAATTGAATGCTTGATACAACAGTATTTAATATCCGTATATGATATACGTGAGCATGTGACCACAATCATCCCTTGTATACCTATTTTGATTGTACTGCAATTCAATTTGTCTAATTTGCAGAGAGATAAGAGTGGATCAGTATAATTAATTCTAATGAACGTTTTCACTGATAAGAATCTGTCACCTGTTATATACTTAGGAAACTATTGAAGACTGCTGAACACTATCGTTAATAGAGGACATTTTAATTATTGATACGCTTAAAGGTGATTGTTCTAATCTCTGTAAACGGACACACTTCTTGTCTGCACTATTTCCGCCGACCAGTGTCAGTCGTCGAGGGGTCTGCAGAAAGTGCTAATCGGATAATTAAGAACGGGATGCGAACAACGCGTGCACCGTATGGCCGAATGATTCAGCAGCGGCATCGCCTCTAATGCTCTAATATAAGTCTAAGCGATGCGTTTCAGGTCACGCGTTAACTGACGGTTCTTGCCCCCGCGCGATGCGCGATTGACCCACGACCTCGGTAATCCTCTTATAGACTCGACGTAGTGAGTCGAGACCTTTGGCATCGCTCTTGGAACAGATCAAGCGAAGTAGCTCAAATTTTTCGGTCTTTAACACTTGAACTGAAAACTGATTTCAGCATTGAACTTGATATATGTAGTGAACTATTTTAACACTTTCTCTAATATATGACCAGATAATTTATTATTTCTTTAATGTTTAAAAGAATAATAAAATTATTCTTAATCGAGAGTAAATAAAACTGTTACAAATGGATATGTCAAAGCCTTAATTGGTAAAAGTTTACACTTGTCAAATATGGCAATCAAAATATTAACGTGAGAGTCTTATATGCCGTAAAGGAATTACATATATGTATACATATACCTATAATTCTTCGTGCAGCAGTTGTTCCTTTGATCACTGTTTGTACTATAAGATTGTATTTAATATTTCCTATAACGAGTTATACGGTTAATTCTGTTAAAAGGGCGAAGCACACGCGCCAATCTTGCTGACCAGAGCGGAAGTGGAGACGCAGATTCCGTCTCTTCGAACATCACCCACAATACGCCTTGTTGACGGACCGAGTCCGCTAGCGGGAAGACTGCAGCTTTTCCATAAAGGTAGCTGGCGTTCCGTCTGCACAAACTCGCGAAAGTACGTACACAGCGTATATAACTGACAATAATGGAAATACTGGAGCAGATATCTTATGCGAATCTCGTTATAGTTGGACTCGCGCAGACCTAGAAACAGCGTGTCGACAGCTCGGTTATCAGGGCGGACAATGGTGGTCATGGTTCGACAGACAATGGCCCTCCAAGCCGCGTCTTCTTTACGAGGAACCTGGCTGTCGTGGCACCGAGCCCTTGTTAACGACTTGCGAACATTGGTCGGAGAGAGAATTGGGTGCCGGTGTTTGTGGTAAGTGTTTGAAAATGTCTTCTCTCTCTCTCTCAAATTTTGTACGCCTCTGATGAAAAAATTTTTATATTAATAATTTCAAGAATTTTTCATGTTTTTAAAGATTTTTTTAATGACTTTGAATGTTTCCAGATTTTATAGAATGAGAAATCTTAGAACGTTTTGTATAAGATACTTAAGATATTTTAAAATTTACATACAGGATGTCCTCTATAAGTGCATCTGCATGTATCTATAAATACATGTATAGTAGTACACATGTATACGTATACACGTGTATCTCCAGTACACATTTAAAACCAGTATACATATTTAAAATTAATTCTTCTTATATAAAATTTTTATATCGCAATTCATTCAAAGACATTTTTCCCTTTCAACCAAAGTAGTAGTTATTTAATTTTCTTTCGTAACCTTATTCAAAACGTTATTACAAACGATACTTCGGTTTAAAATTTTGTGAACGACTATTATAACGATATAAAGAATTTTATTATAATGAAAAGTTTCGCTAAAGATGAAAATTATAAGTCTAATCAATTATTAGTGACGGCATCTAATTCTAATCCATTGATCCAACATTTTATAGATTATCATCCTGATCTGGGCATTTCTTGCCTGCCACGTCACGATGGTGCGAGCAAGGCAATCAAGCATTGGCGGGGAATACGATTTGAGGACGCGGTGTACGACAAACAGAAACTCATCCTACAAAACACACTTTACGTACGTCAATCGCTGTCCATTCTAAGGAACACGATAATCGAGTGAGTACCTTTATGAAAAGATATCGATTAATTCTTCCTAATATCTTTGTTTCATAATATAAAAATTTTGTCGAAAAATTCGCTGGTATTTTGCTAAAAATTTTGTTAAAATTATTCCACGTTTTTTAACACTTCAGCGAAATTTAATTGAATTTGAAATTGCATGTTTTTTTACACAGCAAACACAAGGGTGTTTAAATTAAATTTTACCGTTTTTTAAGACAAAATTATGTTATCAAAAATATATTTGATTTACTTATTTTTCATCTTTGAGCCCAATTTTGAGACTGATGTCATTAACAAATCATTTCATTAAAACATGGATGGAAAAATTTCAGAATATGTTGTGTCTATTTTATTTTAAATTTACAATAACTACGTGAAACAGAGCTCTGCCGCATCTATCTGGTGATTCGGTGCCACATACTGCTGGTATAATAAATTGCAGCATATTATTACAGAAATTTTAGCAAATTTTTTAAAAAACTTTTTGAAGAAAAATTGTAATAATTTTTAATGTTATCCACAATTTTTATTGAAAGATAGAAACGTTTTTACGAAATTGTGCAGTAAAATTTTAATAAATTTTCTTGAAAATTTTGCTAAAACTATTGCTCAATAAAATATTTTTCTATCGGAATTCCTAAAATATTAAAGTAAGTAAAACTATTCTAATTTTAAATAGATATGCTGGGACCGGGAGGGAATACAATATAACTTCGGCGATTCATGTGGAAGGCGTTCCACCGATAATGGAGTCAATTTCTGTTTTTCATTCTGCCTTTACGGGTATCAACGTCACCACGTCGGATGCATCAGTCGTAATAAATAATTGTACTGTGCAATCAAACAGAGGTAAGATATATGTAATAATGTAATCCCATTCCTCTTCTTCTCTCATCCACTATATATATTTTTTAATATTTTATTTGCAAGTACAGTAGAACTCTGCAGTTTATCTCCACCCTGTTTATAGTTTATACGAACACATTTGTATTCAGTTTCAAATATACTCATAGTTGAACTCATGTTATTCAAACTAAGGCGCCGAATAAGAGTAATTGATATGTTCAATTTCAATTTTTTAAACTCCTTATTAGAATTTTAATATATAATAATACTGATAAATAGGAAAACTAGTGAATGTCCAAACCACATCTGTTATCGGAATTGTTTTGTCTCCCACAACATGTTTAGATAAAATGTTTAATTCTCTACTATACTACATGTCGAATAATATGTTGAATTTACTGTCAATTTATTTTAGGATATGGAATTTATATAAATAGTTCATCCGGCATGGCGCATATTAATAATTGTACAGTATCTGAAAACGGAGCGGACGGAATAAAGTACGTGCACGCGGACGAGCGACCAGATGATAAGTTGGAGCGTAACGACGTGTACGATCTATGCACCTTTCCTTCAACGGCCAGTCAGACTTTTCCTATTACTATATCTATGCAGCAGAACAAATATGCACCCAACGTAAAAGAATGTCCACAAGTGAGAACAATGTTAATCATTATCAAATAATACTGTATTAATTCATACTTCGCATGAAAGAAGATTACAACTTGTTTCGTGTTTGAGAATCGTTTCATTTCAATACTTTTTTACGCATTTTTTAAAATAAAAATCGGGAATTACCATAATACGCTACACTCGAGAAAAAGTTGATACATTGGTGTGCGTATGTGTGTTGTGTGTATATGCGCACGCGCGTGTGAAATAAAGTCCTTATTCATGTCTTTACGAAATTGCAGCTGTCAATATTATGCTTTAGTTTTTACAAATTTACTCACATTCAGATTAACAACTCTTTGAATTAGTTTTTAAATGAGTGAAAACATAATTAACAGCGATTTCGTATAAAGATCGATGTGTGAATAAGGATTTTATTTTTTATATTTATTTAAATTAACATTGTATATAAATTTTTTCTGAGTGTAGCGTTATTATTGTAATAATTTTCGATTTCTACATAAAAAAAAGCATAAGAAGATGTAGAAATAAAATAATCTCCGAACGCAGTTATAAAAAAAATAAAAGTTAGTATTATATAGATTTACAACTTAATTCTTGGCCATTTTTTGCCAAGTTTCGACGCAAAATTATAAAAGAACGAATATAAATCTAGTCAAGGTAATCCCCTTCATTTTTCACACATTGTTGCCATCTTTCAGGCAACTGTTAGGTTTGCTTCGGAAAAAGGATGGTTGGAGTCGATAAATTCTATAATGAAAAAAAATTGAAATTGCTATTAAAAAACCTTTAAAATTATTTTGTACATGTATACTATACGACACAGAGTTTTCGCCTAAAGCCGAGCAAATCATTTCTTGAGTTTCCGCGGCATTTTTCTTCAGCTGGAATGCGAAGAGCAGGCAGGCAATACGTACATCAAATGCTGCTTTTCGAACGACATAATTTTCACTTCTATTTTTAAAAAGATTAAAATTTGAGTAAGTGATGTAGTCGATTGAATATAAGGGCCGAGAATTAAGTTGTAATTCATCGATCGATCAATGAATGAATTAAAAAACTCATCCATTATTAACGAATGGCAATAATATTATTTAGCACATCTTCACGACGCCAGGCTATATTTTGACAGTGCATTTTTTGCAAATGAAAACCGATAGAAACGATAGCGCCATCATAGAGGTGTACGATGGTATAAGTGGAACAGAAAGACTTTTAGCTACTGTCAAAGTCAGAAATGGGACTTTACCGCAGAGCGTGACCTCAACTCGTCATTATATCTTTATAAAGTTCATAGCTGAACCACGAACTAATGCACTCGTGTTCGTGCGAGTGTCATCAGGCTACAGTAAGTTTAATAAAAATTTACACACATTGATCCGGATTATATTGATCTCCCATTTTTAAGTTATTAAGTTTATAAAATAATAAAATAATAAGAGATAAAATGCCCTATAAAGGCCTTTAATTTTTTTATTCAATTTATTATCTCTGAGCCTAATTTGTTTATTTTTATTGTTTACTTTTATTTTGTAATAAAATGTTCTTCTTTTTCTTCACAGAGAAAACGTATGATCTCAATGTGACCAGTAGTACAATAACAAGTAATAACGGTCGTGGTATCATCGTGGAGAAACTAAGATCAGCCTTGCACATTCACGAGACCTCGGTATCGGATAACAATCACGTGGCGGGAGTGCACGTATTAGGTGGTGCGATGGACGTTAACATCACCGACAGTCGTATCGCGTACAATCAAGGGGACGGTGTTAACATCACTGTTACAGGCGGCAATCGTAACGTGTCGCGCAGCAGTATATCGTCCAACAACGGTTATGGTTTTGCGGTGTGGCTCAACGACAGCCTCGCCACCGAATACGTACATTTCAATCAATCGACCGTGATCGAGTACTCACAAATATTCAGCAATAAGGACGTCGGTGTTCTGGTAAGTATATATGATACTATTATGTATATCTATCAGTTACCCTGCAAAAATGTAGACAGAATAATTTCGTCAAAAATCATCGTATCGAGATTTTTATAAAAGCATTTTAAAACTTGAAATCTCTTCTTTTCAAACCGGATAATACACAATGCATAAAGCATAAGAAAATAAACTAATCAAAGTCCTTCATTTGCATGGAAAGAAAGAAAATAAAGGACTTTGGTTCATTTTTTTATGTTTTACGTATATATTATGCGCGCGTTATGCAAGAGTGTGTGCTGCGATTTTTCCGTTTCACTCATGATGCGCATAATGCATCGTTTATCCTTATTGCTCACCAAATGTTAAACAAGGACAATTATTGATGTATCATGCGCGTCATGCACGAAATAAAACGCACCTATTGATGTAGTGATGTGTCAATGACACGTAATCGTCTGTGTGTAAGAGCTATTTCCAATATGACTTTGGGATCCCCTTAATATTTATCAACGTCAGTATCGATAAAATACCGATATTATAACAACTATAAGGTTTTCTTATTATAAAAAGAAACTTGATAAGTCTTAAAATTTTACATACAAATATTAAGTTTTATTAATATATAGATTTTAATTATTGTCCAATTATAATTGTACAACTGATTACTACAATATTGCTATATACACGAATTAAGTATCGACATTTCTTCGGTCAATAGATCGGTAATTCAACCGGCAACTCGTACGTGAATGTAACTGGCAATGGGTTCAATACCAGCTTTGACACGGCGCTGCAAGTGGAATCCAGTTGGAGAAAGGATATTGGATTAATGAGAGTGCAGATCGGGCACAACTCATTCATAAGGAATGAGAAGTTAGGAATCAAACTGAGCCCAGCGCTCAATCTCGACGCTATTATAGAGTACAATCACTTTATAGATCAAACAACTGGCGCGATTTTAATAAGAAATCCACTCTACGAAGAGTTTAATATTTTGCCCGCGGAGGTCGTGATCCGACACAACGAATTCTATAACAATCAAGGTACCTTTATAGTCAGCATTGGCTTATCACCTTACAACGATGCGCAAAAGTTACTGTTTACAAGAAACTTCCTAAAACACAATCGTGTCCGGGAGTTATTTGACAACGACGATATGCGCAATGTCAAACTGATACCGCGCTCCAGGGTAGCCGCAGTCGTTGTCGTATCTTCGAGCAACGTTCAAGTTTTCCGTAACATCTTAAATAATCTCGATTCACGTTACGAGATTGGCTCTCATCTGGAAGATCAGAGTAAAGTTATCAATTGTACATACAACTGGCTAGGATCTGCAGAAGAAAAAATAATATTCGATCGATTATTTCATAGGTACGTATATATGATACATCTGATTGATATTTTTAAATTCTTGCTCTTTAAATGGAGTAAATAATTATATACATAATCACGATTTTGTATTTATTTAGGAAGGACAGATATAATCTCGCCAAAATCGAATATTTGCCTTACTTGCTGCACAATAGTAACCCCGGCGCGAATACCATAATCCCGAATCCTACATTCGTGCCGCAATTTATCAGGCCCGACTCGAACGAAGTCGGAGGTGAGGTTGATGGCCAGGAGGAATTAAAAGCTGGAGAATACATTGTCAAGCGCGATATCAATGTAAGACCAGACGGCAAGCTAATATTACAACCGGGCGTTACGTTACGCTTCCCACCGTCCGTGGGAATGATGATTGCCGGCAAATTCGACGCGCGCGGCAAAAAACCCAGCGATATTTTATTTACTCTCAAGGAAGAGCTTGTTATGTTACCAGATAACGATACTTTCACGGATGAGAATACGATTCAAGTCCATGAGACAGAATCCGTGCCAGTGAGACTTCTTGGTGGAAAAACGAATCTTGAAGGGAGACTGCAGGTAACTATACAGTATTACACCTTTTTCGTAGAGAACAAAATTCCAGTCTTACAATAAATATTAATGAAAAGATATTAAATTAATGTTTGAACGATGAAAGAGAGAAAACAAAAATCGCAGTATACATCATCTTCAATTGTGTTTTTTATTCTGAAAGGTAAAAATTGGAAATGAATGGGGCACTGTGTGTAATTATGGATGGACAATTCAGGACGCAGCGCTCGTTTGCCATCAATTAGGCTTTATCCTCGACTTTGAGAATTGGCTTATGGAACGATCACAAATTCCGAATGCGGGAATCAATGAGAGGATACTCTTCAGCAATGTGCGCTGTACCGAGTATGACAATGATATAACTAAATGTCGGGCGGAAAGAGAGCAAGATTTTGAAAACTCGTGTACTCATGAGAACGATGTTGGGGTCAGATGTTTGGAGGCGGCGTGGGCTGGTCTCAGATTAGGACCACTGGCTCAAAGAAGTGACTTGCAGTATGTGACGATTGAAAAGGCAGGCTTGTTGGATTATAAAACTAATTCATTTAAACCAGGTAATTTTTTAAGATTTTTAATTACGAGTTTTTTTTAATATTGTATATAATCAATCGCGCGAATTGTTACACTTACATATACATTTTACGTTGTTTATTTGTACAACAGCTTTGCAAATTGATTTTGCTCGGCATTCACTGAACGGTATCAAAGTCTTGAACAATTTACAAGACGGCTTGGGAGTTCTGTATTCAGACATATATTCGGCGGACGCGATAAACATCGTGACGAATAGTGACTTCTCTCATAACGGTGGGAGTGGTATTAGTTTCAAGCAACTAGGTATGCGAATTGTTAATTCACGAATCGAAAATAACAAGGTCGCGGGAATAAGGCATAATCCCGCTCTCTCGGCCGTTCAGCAAAGAGAATTTGCGGGATGGTTTCTCCGCGCGCCGGATACCACCGTCGACTCACCGTATAATCCGATAATCTTACCGGAAACAACCAAGAACATCGAACTCGCTAATGGAGAGACCAAATACATCATCACGACCAAAGTAACCGGTGAATCCGTCCGTCGTATCATCAACATTCAAGTAAATTCTTTCTCTTCTCGCAAAATGTATTTTCTTAATAGTCCTTGTCTCAGTTGAACTAAATTTTATCCAAATTATATAGTGCCAACCAAGCTATGTCATCGGTATCCAATTATTGAATCCGATTGAGAATCGAAGTACGGAACAAATTATACTGCACGACTCGCAACGTTTAGACAAGAATCAGACGATTTGGCGCGTAAAACGGGACCTGAGTGTTTTTCCCGTTTCGTCCAGTTCCTTTGTAGTAGTTTTGCAATATGATAGCGGTGAAAATGCTCTTGGTGGAACCGTCATAGTTGTCACGTCGCTCTCGGCTCCAAAACAGGTATATTTCAAGTATATATGTTTATAATATAATATTATATTATAAATTGTTTAAATAATAAAATAATTGTCTAAATAATATGATAATCTAATAGATATAAATCAAATAAGTGTACTTGGAAGAGGATCAGTACAATCGAGGCTATAGATAATGCCTAAAAATACGATATTTTTTCATGTAAATTATAAATTTTTCAATTATATATAAATTAATTTCGCACCGCGTAATGTTGAACTTGAAATATCGTAATAAATATTTGAAACTAAAGTAGTAATATTAAATTGATCGTTGATTTAATAGTGGTACTAACATTTTAAGAACCAACTATAAAGAATTTACTATTTTAGTTAAATTAATCTAGTCTAGCTATTATATGTAATGGGCCATACCCAGTGAGACATCTAATTGATGTCGATTCGATGTCGAATCCATTGTCATTTCTCACTGGGTAGGGGGAATGATTAAAAATAACTCAATAAGTTTTATACAGATGTAATTTTACATTATGAATTTAACATGTAACATGGATGTTACGGAATATAATTTACAGAATATTCACAATAAAGTAGTCAGTGGTCCTATTCCTTTGCTATCTGTCACGAAGACAAAGATCAAAAACAATAGGAAAGGTGTGCTCGCGTCCTACTACAATCGATACTTGAATGAGATCGGAGATCATTTTCTACGGAAAGCCAATGAAAGTATTCAACTAGTCGAATGCGAGATATCACACAATCATGAAGAAGCTGTTTACGTGTATTCACCTTATTGGAACATCTTCCAATCGAACCTGTCCGAAATTTCGGTACATATAAATAACAGCTTGATCACGGACAACGGTAAAGGGATACATCAATTCAGCCGCGATGCAAGGCACTCCAACAATCTCTTCCACTGGATAATGCAGGATAGCACAATAGAAAGGAATCACGGCGGTGGATTTGAGGTGTTGTTACCAGATGTTTGGCAGTACAACGAGAACTTTACACACTCTCTATACTTCGGGAATAACACCTGGCGTAACAACGAACAGTTTGGCTTTGTAGTGGATGGACATTTCGCGCATCTTAACATATCCTATAATCGTTTCGACAGCAATCGCTGTAAGACCGGTTTAATATCCGTGCGTGGATTGGAGAAGAAGATCAGAATCGACAACAATGATATCGAGGGTAATAACGGCGTTTATATGGTTGAGTTCCGAGCGGACAGCCAGTCCGAAATCCTCGGCGACATTTACGCTCGCTTCTATCGCAACGAGATTAAGCGAAACACATACGATCTCGGCAGTTTGGGGCCACGTCGAACGTTTGCAGACGACCCCAGCTACGTCGTCGGCTTCCACGGCATACAGAAAGTACAAGTATATAAAAATCTCTTCGGCCAAAACTCGTTGGATTATGAGTTATTGGCAGGTATCAGAACAGCCAAGATCAACAACGAGGTAGATGTCAGGGAGAATTGGTGGGGTACTGCTAACGACACCTCTATCAGGTAATTTATTCATATAAACGATTATAAACGTCTTTTACATTCAAGATATTCGAAGCTCTTATTTTACTCTTATGTTTCTTCACAGACAGAGAATTTTCGACTTCGATGACTGGAACGATCACGCTGTGGCCAACTATCGGCCGTACTTGATGAGCGACTCGTTTGAAGCGTCTACTTCCGCGTGGCGACATATAAATCGCGAAATTGATCTGAACAATTTGGGCGGTCGCATAGTGGAGAATCTGTCATTGTACGCGAGATCCGATCCTTATGTCATACATTCTGACATTACGGTTATGCCGGAAGCTACTCTACATATCTACCCCGACGTTGTTATGGAATTCGCTCCTAACGTTGGCATCCTAGTCCTGGGAACGCTGAAAGCCGTCGGCGTACCCGGCCACGAGATTATAATGAGACCAATAAAACGAGTTGACGCGAGCGCAAATTCTACTTTTTCCAAACTGACGCCGATCACAAGTTCCACTAATCTCGTGTCAGTGCCAGACGAGACGATTCGTTTGTGCAAGGATGGACGTTGTTCCGTATTGCACCACGAAGGTAGATCGAGAAACCTATTTATTTAAAGATAATTATATGTACAAAGGCAGCTATGTATCCAAAAGTATCCAAAAATTAAGTTAATATTGAAATCCTGGATTTCTCTGCTGTTTTGCTTACGAATTGAACGTTTTAAAAATACTAAAACAATTATAAACTCTATAAAATTATAAAGATGCAAAAAAGAATATAATTATATAAAAATAAAAGGAGTTAAATCCGTATTATTGCAAATGCAATTATATCTATTAGTCATATTTAATAAAAATGACATTTTGTTCCAAAATCAATTAAAGCTCTTTCACTAGCTGCAAAAGCAGTTATTATCTAATTTTCATTTTCTTTAATTTTTTATATTATAATATTATTCTCATAATATATTATTATTTTTATAAATTTAACTGCATCTTTTCGTTTGTAATAGGATTCCTAGAGTACTTCAACAGAACGACTCTTCAGTGGATCCCATTGTGCGACGATCGATTCTCCGAGCGCAACGCTCAAGTAGCATGCCGACAACTCGGTTACGACACTCTCAACGTCTACGTATCGTACGATCGTAGGTACGAACTTCATCCCGGATCTTTGACGCGTGTCTGGTCTTGGCCCGAACCACTGCAGGTACAATTGATTTCGTTTCTTATTTAATTGTTTCATAAGATCAGCCTGATCAGTTAGCTAAATTTTGAATTTGTTTTATAGTGTACCGGGAAAGAGCAAAGTCTCGAGGACTGCCAGATCAGACTGAACGGTCAGTTATTCGGTCATCGTCATGAGTGTCCATGGGACGGGCACTTTGTCTTCCTGCATTGCGGCAAACGAAATTTAGACGATGCATACGATTACTGGGGCGGAATACGCATCGCGAACAGCGAATTCGAAGCTCATCTCTACGAACATCACATCCACGACATCGTGACTCATGAAACAATTAGGCGCGTCGAATCGGTTCTCAAATTTATCAATATAACTGGTGCTGGGATTTTACATTATGAGAAATCGGCCGCTATACAGTCGATTATGAAGTCTCCGGCAGTAATGCACGTAAACATAGATCGCAGCGCTTATCACGGCATAAATGTCGTATCTCCAACGCACATGGTATGCGGAATACATTTGTATGCAAAGAAACACACAAAGCGGAGTTTTATACAAATTCACATTTGTGTAAAACGCATAGTCACACGTATCTATTTAATATACGTATACATATATATATTACAGGTGGAATTATTATTCAACACGATTAACAATGTTCTCGGCAACGGCGTGAATATATTATCCTTGACGGGAGAAGGCCGTGAGTCAGACGAAAGCACGTTCACACCTATTAAGGACCTTAATGTTCCTTATCATTTATTCAGTATGGTCGATATATGCGATACCACAAAAGAAATTATAATCGAGGAGCGCGTGATCGTATATTACAAATATGATAATTATCCTGTGAATTGTGTGAAAATCTTCCGCAGTGCTTACCGAGCCAAACCGTTCGGATTTAGGTACGTAAACTCTTTTTCGTGTCCGCTAGAATAATTTTTAAAAACTATGGTGCGAGGAAAATTAGAAAGTGCTAATATCCTGATTTTCCAGGCTTTTACAATTTAATCTTTATAACTCCACTGGCAAGCCAGGCCGACACGATAGTATAACTCTGTACGACGGAGACATTTACAATATTAGCACTAAAGTGATTGGTCATTTGGAAGTTGATACTCCTGACGAGAAAAAATTGTTTAGAACGCAGAATCCCAGTATTAGTATTAGATTATTCGCTAACGGCGCTAGTAATATGCATGGATTTATCGCGGAAATCGTAACTCTTCCGATATCTGCTATTGGTTTTAGTAAGTAATCGTAATTTATAACATTTATTAGCGAAGAGAAATAACATAAACCCTTGTACACACGCCTATTTCGAATTACGTACTCTTCTATAATTCTTTTATTTTTGTGATTGGCAGATCGCGATGTGCAGCACAATGTTTCTTACTCTTTGATATCGAACTGTCGCGAAGGGGCCGTAAAATATGCAAGCGCTGGCGAAGTGAATGCCATAATAACGCTCGAGCGCAATCAGTTTGTAAATAATTGCGAGAAATTGTACGGTAACTTTACCACGTGTAAATCCGCATTGTGGCTTGACGTCCAAAATACACAGTTGCTCTATTTCAGAGTAAGTATAACGTATGCTTAAAGATATATCATACGTATTTCCAAAATTACAAAAGAATTACAGATTATTCTAGATCGCATTTAAAAGTAATATAACAAAATTTAGTGGTGCGGTAAGCATCAAAAGTAAATATAACTTCAATTAGTTATACCGTTCTAGAACAATTTGATACAACGAAATCAAGGCGGTCTTACAATCCGTGCTGATTCGAGCGGTACGGCAACGTCCCTCAAAGGATGGATTCACAATAATCTCTTCACAGAAAACTTCAATAAGCCTGCACTGTAAGTACGTTATTATAACGCGTTTATAAAAATCAGGAGTAACACTGCGGATCTTCAGGTTCGTCGAGGGTCGTCAGAGCAGTCCTTACCAACAGTTGACTATATTCAGAAATTATTTCACCAAGAATAACGCTCCATATGACAATAACATCATTTTGAAACAAGTGGTTAGCAACATGACATTCAATTACTTACATGGAAATCTTGGTATGCACTTATTGGAGATTTCGGGATTCGAGAAGGTCCGTTCACAATTCTATCAAAGCACATCTCACAACGGTTTCTACAAGTGAGCTACTCGTTTATATATACTCGTATATATTTTTTACGTATACCTGCTTTCTATTTCTTTATCATCACGCGCGTGTGAAAACTATTTATAGAATATTATAAAATTATTTGGAAGAAATAAATATTTATAATTTTTTAGAAATTACGCAGTCGATCGTGAAGGCCGTAGCACTATTATTGCTGGTACACCTGGCCAGCAATATGTTGATAATGTGTTCTTTAATCCCGATAACGATTATGAAATGCAAACGACGAACAAATCTCAGTAAGACAAAACGAATTTGATCGCAAGATAATGAATTACCGATTTTAACATTCATTAAACAAATAATTTATGTATTTAGACAACTAGAAATTTGGAGATCTCACATAGACGCGCGGCATAACTGGTGGGGTTACAATGAAACTTTGGCGGTGGCTGGACGCATCAGAGATCGTGAGGATTCATTTGAGTTGTTGCAGGTGGATTATCAACCTTTTCATATGAATAATAAGTCAGTATTAAGCGGCAAGTGTCCACCCGCCTGGGATCTCGTTGGTGACACGTGTTACATATTGATTGGCGCACCGATGGACTTTTATAATGCGCGAGACTTTTGCAGGGTGAGTTATTCTAGATGTATGATTTCATCTGTGTATCTCTTGAAATATCGTGTATTTAAATTTAGACTCTTATGCTTCTTCATTTCATATTAAATTGTTTTTCTTTTGTGCAGTCGGTAAATGCGTCGATGCCATTCATCATGGGAGATTATCTGGAACTCTGGAAGTTCGCGCGCAAGCAACAGGAGCGATTCGATTATTCGGAGCGTGTGTGGGTGCAACAATTGGAACGCGTGGATCAATGCACGATGTTTACGTACCAGACCATCGAGATTGATCATTGTGCCCAACCTAATTTATTTATTTGTGAAATTGGTATGCAGAATATCGTAACGAACTAACTAATACTTTTATAAATATTTCTAAAGCATTTGGAATACAAGTCGAATATTTTATGAATATTTAGCATTTATAGCTGGGTGGTAATAAGATGAAAAAAAATATATAAGGGAAAAAAATGATTAAAAAAATTATTCATCTTTTGACAGATCCCAGAGTCAACATTGACCCTCTATCTTGGAGGAAAGATATCATTGCGGTGGGTGTTTTGGGAGCTGTTGGGGTCGCACTCGCATTGCTAACTGCGGCGATTGCATTATGGGCGTCCAAGTCGAAGAAGCGTAAGCTTGAGAGACTGGAACGACGTAACTCCATCAGGCAATCCTTACATTCCTTACGATCGGTCGGTTCCACGTCCGGCTTCACGGAACTGGCTTATCGCCGAAAGCCTATCGCGGTAAATATGCGACAGCCGAGCGAATAAATGCAAATGGTTTTTAGAATTAACGTACATAATAGAGATTAAGACTATACAACTTACATTAATTGAAGATTTTAAATGAGTAAATGGTTGAATCTGATTTTAAAAATTAGGAAAATTAGTACTTTTGGTTTAAAAAAATTTTTATATCCTTAAGAATAGATTACATTTTAAATTTATGAATCATTTCAGATTTTATAAATAAGATTTCTTTAGAAATAATAAAATGAAAAATCTCTTAGAATATTTCAAAATTTACATGCATAAAGAATTTAAAAAATCTAAGAAATTCTAAACAAATTGTACTGAAATTCTGAAAATTCTAAAACTTTTACATAAAAATTCTGACAAATTTTTAGGTTGGACATTCCTAAATAATAACTAAATAATCTTTTTTCATAATCATATTTTAGACCAAACATTCCACGGATACGCTGAACTCAAATTACAAGCGCATGCTGAACGGTGGTAGCCTAGATTCGATGGACAAGTCACAACTGAACTCTTCAATAGAGGATAATCAAAGTTACGATGTGTACGAGGCTCATAATCCACGATATTCACCGAGCACGAGCGACTTTAAGAGTACCGCGCAGAAATACGGTGTGGCGCAGAGTGTCGATAATCCAGTTTTTGATCTGGCATACCGCAATGAGGGCTTCCGCAATCATTCTACTTTTGCGGCAAGGAACGGTACTCTCGACGGCGCGACCTCCGCCGCTTCTAACTGGTCATCACCCCCGAACATACAATCGACATCAATCGATGAAAGTCCCACAGTGTACGCTAACAACGAGAGCTCGTCGTATCTTAACAATACGCCTACGCTACCGTTGCATTCCAGTATCGCGCTCACCGATTCAATGATCGAATTAAAACGCGATATCGAGTCAACATCGGGCATTTACGATATGGATTACTTAAAACCCTCTTACGACTCGACTACGTTAACTCCAAGTCAGGCGTCCGAGCCTGTTCCGGAATACGCGTCGGATTTTCAGCCGCCGGTACCGCCGCATCCTTATCGCTACGAGGCCGAGAGCAGACCTAGAAGCGAGGCACTATTAGAGACCAACTTCGACACGGGTGAGGAGAAGCCGCTACGCTCGAAGAGCGAGGCCCTGCTCGAGACCAATTTGGATGCGTTCCTAGTCAATGAGCCCACAGAACTCACGCAACTATCAGCGACCGCTCGAAGCAAGAGTCAACCATTAGAAACGGCAATGTAACTCTCAGGACGTCGACAACTCTTAGGCCAGCATTCACTGCAACTCGGACACATCCGAAGTGCGTGCCAAATGTCTTCTAGCGACAAGCACTGCCAGCTATTGCACAATAAGAGATTTTCAATTGTTTATAACAATGTACGCTGCCGACTTCCGCAACTCGTGATGTTATTTCCAATGATCGTGAATATTGGGATTGACACGCACAGTCAGTCCCCGTTGAAATGACCGGAAATGGAGCGGATATTCGTTGTTTGATGCAGAAAATGATGAAGATTTTCACATTGTGAAAAAACTTTGCGTTAAATTGTAATCTGATACGTTAAAAAATATTACGATAATTATTACGATACAACATGCTGACATAGGACGTTTTCCAGTAAGAGATACAGTTGACACTGTAATACAATGAATTGTAAGAGCTGGGCCGAGAAAAAATGTCAGGCGCTCCATCGGTGCCGGGACTTGAACTGAGGCCTCGTAGTTGTTCGTATTAGCAAGCAACTGTCTCGTCGCGGAACCACACAGTCTGACGGCAGAAACTTAGTTTATACCTTACAGAATCATTACATCTTTGTCAATGTTAAACAAGGATGACATGATTCATTGTGTTACACTGTGTCTCTTATTGGAAAACGTCCCATGTTCAGTAAATATGCGAGTTTTGGATAAATCCACTGAATTCGCGCTTGAGATGAGAAAAATGCATATACGTACATATACTCTCTAAATCTCGAAGAGTAGATTTACTAATATTAAAGTAATTGCAATAATCACTCCAAAAGAGGATTGTCACTCTAATTTCAGTAATCACGGGCATTCATAGGCTAGGAGTAAATTTTTTACTCAAATTTTTAGAATGGCTATGTGGCACAACCTGTGCAATATTTTATTTCACTTTAATTTAGAGTAAAGAACGCTTTGTGAAGCTCTTAACAGAGTTGTGGATGTTTTCTCGTAAGAAAGATTCGACGTCACAATTGTATAGAAATCGAAAATGATTAGTTAGAGCAACTTCTCTCCACATTATGGCGACTATTTTTTTATTAGGATGAACGATAAGTACTAAATCGATTGATCTGTATCTACTTTGTACTTTGTTTGTAGGAAGTTAAAAACGACAAACTTAAGAATAATATCTGTTGAACATTATAATTTCAAAAAATTTATACATGTTAGTCTATATACGTTATTCTTCTAGGAATTTACTCCAATTTATAGAATGCAATTTAACTGTTAATTAGAATGGCAAATCACTCCAAGTGCACAGGCTCAATTTTCATTTCATTATACTTGCATTTCACTCATTTCGAGTGATATTTCACTCTTCGAGTTTTACGGAGATATAAGATTTTCGCGGTAATCACCCGTTAAAACTTGGGTTTAAAGAGAGAGTGTTCATTACGTATAATATATATTTAAAGCAGAAATTTAACGTTTTGCTTTAAATCTTTTTTTATATATATATATATATATTAAAACTTTATATTAATAGAGTGTTAGATATGTATAGTTGAAATGGACTGCTTCACACAGTATCATAAAGATCTCAACATTCAATTCAGTCAATCGTTAATGACTTTCAGAAATTATACGCGTACTTGTTACATCTTGTGACCGTAGATGTTCTAAAGAGGATGACTGTACAACGACGCGTGTTACTTAATCCCAATCATATCCACAAATGATATCTAATATCACTAATTTAATAGACTGTCAATAACAAGACCGTCATTGGTCAATTAAGTGAAGCAAGTGAAACTCCAGTCACTGGAAACTAAGCTTGTTGGTAATCTTTAAGAAAAATCGATTGTTAAGAACTTTTTACGATACAATAAACATATATAACGTTATACACATTATTTGATGATAGATATTTATTGTCAGAAGCAGAGCCGAAGGATACATATTAATTTTAACGATATAAATAAAAAAAATTGACTAATTCACATTGTTGACCTTGTTGCAACTAAGCTGTGAAAATAAAAGTAGACATCATATTCATAATTGTATATTCTCATTGCTCTTTGTTTGACAAATGATGTGTATATCAGAGCAATCAAAAAGTTTCTTGTTTTTTTTTAATCTAACGTCTCGTGCTAACAATAAATATAGGAGTTACCAATCTGTTGCGGATACACGGTGTTACACTGCCAAGCATGTTCAACGTCCGTACGTAGGTAACTCTCACGAGTATTAATAGAGTAATAAATTAATTGCTTTAAGAATATTCTACGTTACAAAGCTTAGCTATAAATAAATATACTCTATTTATTGAACACTCGCGCGCCGAGATATAAATTTTACGAAGATATGTTTGAGCATTAAAAAAATTTTTAATACGCTGCTTAAAAAACTTATATATAGGCGAATTATATTCTTTCTCAAAGATAATTTTACGTAGTATTTGATAGACTTACCGTTTCCATTAAGTAAGATCTCGTTGATCTTGTTCTTACCGAAAGCATTTTCATATACCTGCCTTTAGCGAAATATCCGTCCATACACGTAGATTTAGCGTAATCGTGATTAATCGCCTTTTTAGGCTTCGAAGTGAGCGATAAATAGGAATGTAAGTAAATTTTTGCTACGTAATTGTTAAGATCGCCGAGCGAATCGCAGGATTCTTGAAAGAAAAGGAATATATGTGTGCATGTGATATGTACCTATTAGCAGAACGCGAAGGCACTTGCACAACGTCTGTAATGTATATTTATTATATAAATATTTGCAACGTTTTATTAAGATTTTAATTGACAGGTTAATTGACGTGCCACAAGTTCTCTCATAGGTATCTGTGCGAATGGAAACTTGATGTCACAAGGCTGCCTTACATGTACATGTCGCAGAAGTAAGATAAATAAATTTAGCAAATCTAAATGATCATGTAAAAATTACTAATATCCAATAATTTCACAAACTACATTCCATTCCTATTCATTTTTTTTAGAAAACTGATTTATAATATACTGATTATGAAAGAAAAATGTTCGGTATAATAAATTATGGTGAATAATTGTTGGCAATTTATAGTCGAAAACCATGTAGTGTTTCCGGATATGGAATTGTAAATTATTATTGTTATTATTATTATAGCGATATTAATTATAATAATAGGAGTTCTTGACCATAATTATTTTATATAATATCTTATAGTCATAAATATCAAACATTTTCTCTCATTGTAAGTGTAGTATTGCGATTTTTTTTTGCTCCAAACTCTAAACTCGTTTTTTCGGCAAAGTGATTTCTGCGCTATCTTAAACCGTAATCTCAAATTAAAAACAAGTTGGCCAAACATCAACTATAAAATTCAGAGCTTAGAACAAATTAACGTTACAACTCGAAGCTTAAAACAATAAGAGACTTAGCACATCTATTATATGATAGATCGAGATAAACATGGTTATTTCCAATAAAAAACGTTTTTGACATTATCATAAGTCGCAAATTCTAAGCTTTCAACGAATCGAGTTAATCCAAAAATTAGTTGTAAAGTTTAGAGCTTAAGCACATTAACGTCACAACTCGAAACTCAGAGCAAGACTCCGTAATCAATTTTCACGCCAGGAATACATAGGATAAATGTAAAGAACAACGAGTACTTCAAAACAATATCGAATATATTAATATTAATATCGTCAAAAGATAACATAATTAAATATCAGGTTACTATATTCGTCGCAGCCGTTTTTTTTTTCTCGGACCGCTGGAACGAACATTGGCATAAGGAGATTCTTTCTACGTCTAACAATATAATGGACGAAGAAGTTCCACGGTGCCACACTCGATGTGGCTGCAACGCGGTTTACGTCAGTTTACGTATCAGCGAAACGGCTTTTACTTCGACTTGTGCGTCTTTAGAGACGCGGGCGAACATAATTTCTTCGGCTCTGGTAGATATGTATAATAATCTAATATTAAAAATATGTAAATTCATAACTGTGCATTTGTGAACATATATATATATATATATATAATATAAAATATGATATATATATGTATATACACACAATCTTTTTCTATTATATCTATACATGTGTAAAAGAAGGCTCATCTCGAGATCGCGCAGTCAGATACCTCCGTTGCTTATGGATGCATTTGAATAGTGGTACGCGTTATCGCAGTCTACAAAGACATATACATATGCAACGAATAAAATTAACTTGATTGTAATTATCAGCATCGACGCGCAGGCTCCAATAACCTAAGTATTGCACCTGGTTTTATTAATGATAGACATTATTCGCAAGAGAAACTATCTACAATTTCCTTCTATCTATACATTAATACATACACAGGATGTATATCTTTAAAAACACCTACGAACCATATAACGCTATTCCGCGGATCAAAAACTGAGTTTAAAACCTATAAACCATTTTGCAATTTTTTTGCACAAATTTTTGATTAGGAATAACACTAGTTCGTAAACGCTTTTTAAGATATATCCTGTATATATAAAAATGTGTATGTAATATATATTATTAACTATATATAGTAATTATATAACAATATGTCGACGTTGTAAAAAGAAAAATTACAAGTATTCGTTCAGCAAAGTCGGCATTGATCAAACCAGGCGTCAATTCGAGCCATTTTAGCGTTCCTCAGCACCGGAGGCGCACCTGCTTGATCTCTATTGCACGAATTAGTCTACGAGACAATTATTAACTATTGCACCAGTCGTGCGTGATCACACGTACGGTAACGACAATACGACGAACGAGCCTTTCGCGAGATGCGGGGGCTGTATTCGAATTGCGGAATCGCGGCAGTCGTGCCCTAACAACGTTTTTCTCATTGATAGAACTGGTGCACATTCAATGCATATTAAAGTCGCCGTACACTAATTTAATCTGAATGAAATAGTAAGATTCATCTCAATTAATAAATGTATACATATATTGCTTAAAGTATGTGTTTTATTAAATAACACAATAAAATGTATTAAGGACTTTGCGATTCAACTTGACTGGTTAAAACAGCAATTTAAAATGCACTGAGTGCGCACCAATTCTAACAATGTAAAATGCTATAAGTTGCGATCGTCAGAATCGAATCGTCGAAGCGAGCGCTAAAGTCTCAAAATTACCGTAAAGGACTAAGAAAAAGGAGCAAGGAAGAATCACACGCACCAGACGAACCAATCGCGCGCAATCTTGTTCACTATCGTTATGTTTGAGCGAAGCAGAATGGACCGCACGAATAAAAACGTCGAGGCAAGAGAACAAGAGCGAAGGCACATATTAGTGATTATATGGGGGCCAGATTAATGCTTTTTATTAATAATTAGCAAACTAAAAAAAATAATAGCTAAAAAATATATAATTCTATCAATTTTTTCTTTGAAAAGCAGTTGAAGAAATCTATCATTTATGTGTATCTATCAGGAGACGCGGTAGTGTCTCTGGCCATGTTCAAAAAACTACTAGTTAATTAAAAAATTTAAAAGATTAATAATAGACACTACAAGTCTCTTATCTCGAGCAAAGCCCATTTTTGAGGGGTACATAACTACTAAAATATAAAGAAGTTTGAATCGCACGTAATATATCCTGAAAGGCGGCATCGTCACGAGTAATTTGAACTAAAAAAGTTTAAAATCGGTCAAGCTGTTCTAGACATACAAGCGGTCAAAAAGTGATGATTTTCATGAAAAATTAAGGAACGTCTCCTTCCTCTCTGTCCGCAATCGTGTGCATCTCTTTTACCTTTCACACCTCCACCAACTTCGACCCACTACACCCTTTCCCATCGCTCCTCTCTTTCGCTGTATTTCACTCACTTTCGTTATATAATATTTTTAAATCATTTTTTATATGTATTTGTAATATATTTGTACTCTAAAAAGTAATATCCTAAAAAAATCGTATTATAAAAATGAAAAGATCGAGCCATGTTCAAAAAAAGAGAAGAGAGATTCTCAAAAGTTTACCTTTTTATCTAATAATAATATATTACTACGAAAAGTAACTGATAGTATATTATTATTAGATAAAAAGGTTTAAATTTTTGAGGATCTTTTTTTGAACATGGCTTGATCTTTTATTTTTATGATATGATTTTTTTAGGATCTAGCTTATCAGCCTGATTTCATTCATTGCTGAATATCGACCTTTTCCAATCTTTTCCATTCTATATGGTGTTTGGAAGGAAAGAGTTTGGTACCAAAAGGCCACGCTTGTCATGCTTGTTGGCGAGTGTACATATATATCCGCTGATATATGAAACCAACAGTTTTTAACGTCAAATTCGAACGGCAATGACAAAGATATTCTCGAAAGTTTGTCATTGCCTTCCGAGAAGTGACGATCACTTGGATCTTTGACATAGAAAGTAGTCACGCTACGCTCTGCACTATAACCGCTACAAGTTGAACAAATATCATTTGTAAAATTATATATTTTTTTAGTTGATAATTTTCTATTTTCAAATTGAAATGTACGCGCGCGTGCCTATGTATGTGTGATATGAGGAAGGGAAAGCGAGAGAGGGAAGGAGAGGAAAAGAGGAGAGAGAGAGAGAGAGAGAATAATTAAAGAAGTTAAAAGTATAGATTATAGAAAATGATATGAGAAGGTATTTCTTATCTTCATCATTTTCATCACGAAGTAAATTGTATGTTACAATTTAGTATGTCTAGAAATATTTTCCTATCAAATATTGCAAACTTCACTGAAGCAAGTAGTACTTCATAGTGAGTTTATTTTATTTGGCCTTTCCAAAAAAAAAATTAATGTCTTTTTTTGTTTTTATTACTGTCTACTAAGAGCTTTCATTTTTATTCGTACGATCCAATGAGTCTTGACGATTTGGATGCGGACTGTTTGCTATTAACTTTAACAAGAAAGTCGATATATAATATTATACTTAATTGAACCTTGGCAATTAATATCGCTTGGCAATAATTATCACTTTCCGCAAGACAGGGAAGAAAATTTCACCAGCCCCGGCAAAGTGTTAATTTGATCATACTTGTATCCGCAAATCCGAAATCATGTAATTGAACTATACAAGCGGCTAAATCTGTCGCGATTGAATCTTTAACTTAACAATTTATAAGTTCGAAAGATATTTCACTTATATCTACATACTCCTACACATATATCGTAAGTGTCAAATTATAACGCTAGCGTAATATGTGCTGATCGTTGATTAATGTGTCGATATATCTCTAGATCAATAGAACAAACGCGGATTAATGAATGGACAGAACGGGATAGCGAAATTCGCTCTCGGGGAAAGGAAGTGAGAGACTAACGGAAGACTTTTGTAATATTTGCTGTTTTAACGTAAGAAATAAGCGCCGTCGTCATTTAACAGCGTGCACCTACTGAAAGACATTGAGAACGTACATTTGAAAAAAAAAAAAAGGTAAACTAGAAGAAAGTGCGACACGGATTTAACAATTTATGACCGAATGACAAAGGACTGAACAAGTATACATACTCCTATGACTGTGTTCCAAATTTACTGCCAGCGTTGAAAATGCTACAGTTTATGTTACGTGCACTATAAATTTTCAATATAGGCAGTCAATTTTGCAACATAGTCTATGTATATATATTGTATTGTATACATATATATATATATATAAACTTTCATCTTAAATATTAAAAATTAAATTAAGTAATATTCATAAAACAGCGCATGTAAAATTTGAAAGAGAAAAACCTAACGAGACATAGTCTGTGATGTAACGCCGATTCTAAATATCATCCATGATATATTTGATACAAATCGAACGCGTTTAATTGCAAAAGCGAGTGCGCGACACGGGCTACATCTTTAAATATTGTCCAATACAATCGCTTACAACGATCGGTAAATATAAGTATTATTTACAATCTATTTAATGGGTAATTTGTTTATCTTGTATACATATAATCCGAGACGTGTGCGAATCGGTTGCTCATATATATCTATTCCCGCGAGCTCTTTCAACTCGACGCAGGTAAAAGTACGCGAGGATTAAAGTCCAATTGCCGTCATTGCAAGAAGGAATAAAACAAAAAAAAGCGAGAGGAAAATTAAGCTATGGCGCGAACAAAAAACTTGAACAGTAAGCCGTAAGTAGCACGCAAATCAACATTTTGAAAGCAATATTTACTACTGTTTACGTTATTGCTCAGATTGGCCGATTTGCTTACTGCTTATGTCATATTGCCTTACGCGTTTTTTTGTGCCATGACTTTTAAAAGGAGGAGAATGCGATACACGGTTCGTCTCATTTCAGGAGAGGGGAAATTCGGAACAAACGACGAGAAAGAAACGACACCGCTGTGCATTGCGCCACAACGGCTCCTATCTATCTCTAGACTAGAAAGAAACGCGCCGCTACGACGACGCGTCGGAAATTTACGAGGGAGAATAGTTTCCTTTGGGAAAATACGTATAGAGGAGAAATTACATCTTTACATTTGCACTTTGCCTTGTACGTCTACATCAACGTACGATGTGTTCGAAAAATAAAAATATCGTTAAACCTCGTCGACGTCAATAATAACGAGGATCATTCTCTCAAGGATTGCCCTTGAAACGCCTTTTTTCCAAACGATTTTAATTGGTCCTAAAAGTGTCGACCGCTCATCTCACCAACTCGAGATCGCACGTCATCTAGGAGGCAAGGAACTGGGACAGGCAAGAGGGTCCGGTTGAGGAAATCAAACCATGAAAACCTCAACGAAAGGATTACACTCTGTCTGCGGTGGAGGCAGCGCTGCCATGCGTTTATCCAACTCCACTCGTGGTAGGTACGCCTCGATACGCACGTCAGGTCCCGTGGCTGTGGTTGTCGCCAGCGTCGTTGCTCCGGGTGCTAATTGCAGACATTCTGCTGGCGCTAACTGCATTCACACAATATATGATATAATAATCTATTATCTGCAATAACTGCATTCACACACACACACACACACACATACACAATTTATCTAGTACAGTCGCTAAGAGCGAGAAATATATTCAAGATAGTCATTAATTTGAACACACCATATATACCATGGAATGTCTTAGGATACTCTAGTTCTACATATATATTAATTAAATTTCTTCTTCTTCTTACGTTAGGCCAAATCTGACTTGTGTTACACCTCTCTCATATGCTTGTGGTACGCACGTTATTTATTCAATTGGCACAAGCATATGGGACCTACAGTTTTAATGCCGGTTCCGAACGGCGGATTTTTCGAGAGGTGCTTTTGTGGGCAAGAATTCTCTCGGAAGGCCTTGCCGGCCTTTCCTAAGAGGAGACATATTACGAGCATAAATATTTTAGTTCTTACCGGGAATCAAACCCGGAACCTCTAGCATCACAGACCAGTGCGCTGTCTGCTATGTTACACTTGTGTTCAACTAAATGTGTAAATGCTATTTATGTACATGTTATTATATTTATCGCAAATTATTTCATAATTAAAAAAATTTTTTTGAGTAATAAACACAAAATTACAAAAGAGTGAAATTAAATGATATTAAAAATGTTACAACGATTTATAAAATATAACAAACATTTTGATCCTTATTGGATCATGTTCGGTATCATACAATGTATACAATATATAATAAAATTTGTAATTTTATTTTCTGAATACTGGATATGTATACAGTTTACACTTTCTATTGGAATTATTTATAAAAAAATAGAACCAGATAAATATGATACAAGAAAGGATTTCAAAAAGACACGAGGCTTTACTCACCAGAGCAGCTTGCTGAGGAATGGGCGCGATACCGCCGACGTTTGCGGGGGTGTAATAATTAGTCGGGCTAACCGGCGGTGAAGGATAAGGCCAGTAAAAGATAGGTGGCGGATAAGGCGTTGCGAATTGCGGCGGACCACGAGGCAACATCGCGGCCGCAGATGGAAATATCGCCACGGGTGGTGGTGGCAACATGCTGCCCCCTAAGAAAAAAGAAAGAAAAAGGACAACAATCAATGTTCGATCAAGATGATCTGGACGGTTTAATTAGATCAACGCAAATAAAAAGAAGCAGTCGTGCTTGTAGAATCCATTGCAATTCGTGGATCCCCTTTTTAATCAATTTATAATCAATCGATTTGTCAGGTCAGCTATCTCTCGCGATTTGTAATATCGATACTTAACGTATCGTTGATAGAAAAAAAAGAGGGACTCGCAGTACCCACAATCGTCCATTATGTATGTACAAACGTAAAGAAGAGTGCCCACTATGTAACCACTCCACAATTACGACGAGTGACATCGTGCAGATCCGCAGAGATGTTTCTAGAAGCACACAAAGCGTTTCTCATTTAGTAATGCACCAGTATACAGTCGAACGTATTCAACAGCGTGTTTCGCACTATGAAAGTGAAATTAGTGTGAGATACTTATTTTTTTCTTTTTTTAATGAAACAACCACTAAGATCTAACTTTGTACGCTGCACGATTTCACTTTCAATTAGATTGATCTTAGTACGATTTGAGCAAACGTTCCGTTAGATGCACGTAATTGGTCAACAGATATTTTCAATTCAAGCAATTTCAATTTTTTTCATCATAGAATTCATCGACTCAAAATAACTATTTTTTTTCTGAAGCGGAATCCGACTGTTGCCTGAAAGATGCTGAAAATCTGTGGAAAGTGAAGGGGATTACTTTGATTAGGTTAATATTCATTCTTATAATTTTATATCAAAATTTGGTCAAAAATTTGATCGAGAATTAAGTTGTAGACCTAATAAAGCTAGATTCTCTGATATCATTACCAAAAATTATCTCCTCGCGCATGCTCAAAACGTACAAAGAACGTAGTTATCCAAAGGAATAATGATTTGGACTTGGCCTACCTGGAAGCACAGAAGTTAGTATTTGTAGGTCCCGCTACCATAACAGCAATCGACACTGCACCATTGTAACACGATGTATATAATGTATATCTTATATATATATATATATATATACACATACATATATATATATATATAATATGTAATGCAGCACCACTTGCGATTTCGCCCCTCTGCCAAATCACCAGATACACGCAGATTCTCACTCTCTTTTTCTCTCTCTTTCTACCTTTCCCCTCTTTCTCTTTCTACCTTCTCTGTCTCTCTCTCTCTTTCTCTCTCACACTCTCTCTCTCACTCTTCTCTCTTTTGCCTAGCGAAAAAGCCTTTTTGCGTGCGCCATTTTGTAACAAAAGTACAGCCTACGTACGTATCACTTATCTATCTGAAAAGATGTTTAAAAGTTTGAAAAAAATTAATAAATCACATACAACAATTATTTTAAAGTTATTGCATGATTTGAGTAAATATGATTTGAACAAAGATGTGACACGGATAACAAGCTGTCATTTTGCACAATTTAAAGAAAAAAAAAACGTGGATTCGTATCGCATTGGGCTATTTGCAGGCGGAAACGTGTAACACAATGGAAGGAATAAGTAGATTTACTAAACTAGTTTCTAATAGACCGATGGGATGATCGGCATAGCAAAAAGCAACGACTCATAAGTATTGGCCACATTGAACTTTCTGATAACGTTCAACTTGAATAAATCAAGAATCTCATCATGTCGAAAGAATGAGTAATCACGAAATGGCAGAGGAGACACATACAAGTCGATATTCATAGTCGGACGAACTTATTTTTAAATCGTCTTAAGTAATGTCTTAGGATGCCAATCTATAATTGGCTTGTGACATTTTAAGACGGTTTTAAATATAAGAACCAATTATGAACCGGTCTCATTATTAAAGATATCAGTCTTTCGATTGAAGATAGAAAGGAAGGAAAATTCACGAACAAAGTGTCAGAGAAATGGATAGAAAGGGGGGGAGGGAAAGGGAGAGAGAGAGAGAGAGAGAGAGAGAGAGAGAGAGAAAGAGAGAATTTTACGCGCGAAAGGAAGAAAGACAGAACAAAAACAAGGAGAACGAGCGAGAGAAAGAGAGCTAAGAGTTACGACACAGAAATCTCCAACTTGATCTGTAGATACCAAAGATACCTGTGAGCCCAATAAAAAAAATGTATAGAACGTAACAAGATACGCGGTGGTTGCAATCTTCAGCGGTTTTTTCTCCAACAAGATCTTGCGGAAGTTTCAAGCTCGGCATTTTAAAGAGAAAACGCATTCTCCTCGAATACTCTATCACTTACAAGTAACGCTTCGTCTCGCTCGAGAGAGATGCGGAGAGCGAGACGGCGCGGCGCAACGGGATCAGACGCGAAGAGTGCAACCACCAGGCGACGTAATATAATCAGGGTAAGAGTCCACCAACCCGGCAAGCAAAAAGATATATATCCACAAGGCACATTTATTAAACATGATCGTTTTTACCGTCGATATAAAAATCGTCGATATACAAAGTGTATACAAGGAGATAAAAAAAAAAAAGATTGTACCGCGTGTGTATGTGTGAGTGTGCGTGTGTCCTGCTTCTCGGGAGGAGATAAAAGAAAAAACTCTTGAGGAGAGGAAAATGTCGGGGCAGGGATAAAGATATGAAGATGATGAGCTTTTTTTTTAAGCTCCTGTTGTTGTCTCGCTAGGACATCTTCACGCTTTCGACGTATACTGTTGGTCATTAAAATTGCAATGGAAAGAAAACGTATCATATTGAAATTTATCAAATGTACAGGTCATACGGTAAAATATAAAAATGTGCTATATTTCTAATAAAAACACCGAACTGTAATTCTAAACTCCATCTATCATAAATAACCCGCCGTATAAATATAATATCACTTCTCACATTTATCTTGAGGTTGTAATTTTAATGACCAGCAGTATACACTTGTGCTAGAACACTCCGAGATGCACCCCTATGGTATGGAAACGACGTAAAAGGCGACCGATTCTCATCGCTTTTCTCGTCGCGTCCGCCATATAATGATTCACGTCAAGATGTAAGAATACCAGGTGTAACAAACGCAGATATTGCGCACAATACTTGCTGAATATAACTAATTTCTAATTGGTAGCAAATGTTTAATTAGTCATCCAACTGATTGGTGATTCACGAGAATGTTATACCTAGTATTCTTATACACATGGTACCGGTATGGTCCACGTGATACATCCGCGTGATGAACGCCTGTCCATTCGAATCGTCTCGCCATGTTTCACTATCTCTATGATATCAATTAATGCTACAACCGAGTCAGGAGATATAGTCCCGACGTTTTAAAGATGTCAGAGAGATGCATATCCCAAGTTCCTTAATCTCAGGACGTTGATTCGAAACGGCAGATAATCGCCTTGCGTCTTCGCTGTCAAAGACGATGTTTATGTTTTCTGACAACTATGTTTCTCGTTTTGTTTTAGTCCACGAAATCATGGTTAACGTACCACCGTCGTCTCATCTAACGTCCCAAGATTAAATAAACGATCATTTACCATGTAACTATGCCCGACATACGTTCCTTCTTTTTTTTCCTTTTTTTTCAAACGGTCCTCAATTATCTTCAAGTAAATAATTTTCTCAAACAGTTACGTTATATTTAAATATACAGAAAAATCGGATAAAGAATACGTAAAATAACGAATACTTTACTGCAGTTGCTATGACAGAATAGATAGAGAGTTGCTATGGCAGCTCACAAGGGAGCACAATCAAGTGTCCTCCAATTTTAGTAAGCTTCGGATATATTAATATGTAGAAAAAAATAAAAGAAACTTATGTTTTTATAAGTGCTTTCTAGTATGTTTTAAGGGAACGAAAACCTTTTTTAAAAAATAATTATTTTTTTCTTTTTAAGTGAATATCGTCTAAATCATAGAAAATATTTAAAAAATGTTTCAAAAAAATGTTAAATGATTTCAAAAGTACTTATAATAATGACAGAAAAAATTTTCTATTAAAAAATACCTTATTTATATAAAGAAAATAATAAAACTTTAATATTATTATAAAATACAAAAACAAAAAAAAAAGTTTTTTTAATAGTTTTGACAGTTCAGACTAAAGATCTTAGATCTCAGTCTGGTCGTAAACGATTTCGCCAAAATTCTACGAGAGAGACAGTTACGTATGCCTTCTCCTCGTATACCATATATGTATATTGTACAATCACACTCTAATTAATATTGTTTCATTCTTTAAACTTAATTAAAGTTATAGAGTTACAATATGTGTTAAAGTGAGATAGTATATATATAGGAAAAAAGAATATACATATATCTTTCTCGTTTTAGGATTTTGTCGAAAGCACCTGTGACTAAACTTTGATATAGGATTTGTAGTTTGGACGACATTCACTCAAAAAGAAAAAAACCGATATTTTTAAGGCAGGATTTTCTTAACAAAAAAGCGATTATAAAAAAAGTACGTCTCTTATTTCTTTTATATTTTAATATATTCGAAATTTATTAGATAAAAGAAGGGACACTTGATTGCGTTTCCATGTGAAATTACATCAAGGACACTCGCTATCGATTCTGTACGGTAGTACTATATTAGATACTATATAGGATTATAGCAAATAAAATTCTGTAACAATAACCGCAAGACGTAGACTTTTTTTTAGATCTACGTAAGACAGACAGTACCAACAGAAATAGAAATAACAGTAAACTTATCAATAAGACGAATTTTAATCGATTTTTACGTAACGTAAGTATGTGTCAATGCTGAAAAACTATCAGCGTCGCGATTTATGGGGGGACTACATACGCAGTATATAAAATTCACACAATTATAATAAGCACTGTGATCCAGCTTCGACCGTAAATGGCTTTCTTCTTCTAGTTTATTATTGTTTATCAATTGTATGGTCTTAAAAATATTCTAGTATTTACGTAACGTTACATGCAGATAATTTATATACAGATGTTGGGCATCAAATTATGTAGATCTAAAGCAATATCCTGATTCGTTCATTGGCTTAAGTTTACGTCTTATGGTTATTGCTACGGAATTTACTTAAGGGTATATTCTACTTTATCGTGTCAAAAAAATCGATTTTTTTTACATTTTTTCAATCGTTATAGTCTGTAGAATATCTCTGTCAAATTTTATACAAAAATTTA